ATGTGCATTTAGTGTTAATGCAGCTCCAATGACTTATTCAGCATGGAACACGGAGCAGGTCTTTGCTGATAGCCTCCTCACTTTCTTGTGTTTGAGTGACTCCTTTGCACAAAAGGAGCATTCAGTCAGTTGGTGCATGTGTGTGTGTGTATGTGTGTGTGTGTGTGTGTGTGTGTGTGTGTGTGTGTGTGTGTGTGTGTGTGTGTGTGTGTGTGTGTGTGTGTGTGTGTCTCCTGCTTCAGGTTTCAGGGTAACATTACCATACATCCACATGTCAACATGCCGTGTAATCCTTTCCTCTACGTTAGTTAGTGCTCAGTATCTTGTGTAAATGTTTATGCATAAAAACGGCCAACATTGTTCAGGTAAACAAATACAAATTCAAGTAAAATCACACAAAGTCATAATTTTATTGTTATTGATGGGCTTCATTTTTCATTAAAAATTAATGTGTTGAATTTTATAAAAAAGTCATTAAATATTAACGTTCTTGTCTGTCAGTTGCATTAAATACTGATAATAAGCAGAAAATTGTATTTTTTCACATGAAACTTTGACATTTATACAGATTTGGGTAGTAACTAATTGGGTAGTGAACAATCAGTTACTCAGTACTTGAGTAGACCTTTTACCAAATACATTTTATTCTTCCTTGAGTATTGTATTTTATGATACTCTGACTTTCGTACAGAAATATCTGTGGTTGCTCTTGAAGGAATGTTTAAAGTACTTCAAGTCACAACGTCTCTCAAACATCAACCTTTCTTTTTGGCTTTATGTTCCAATTTTTCTCTATTATTTGTTCCGCTTTTGTCATATTTTCTTGTCCTTCGTAGCAAATCAACTGATTGTACTGAGAACCTGACGTAGCTCCGTGTTTGGCTGAAATTGAAGTGAAACTTGTCGAGTGTCTATTGGAAAACAGATCAAGTGCATTTTACATCCAACCCCTGTTGGACTGTTTACCGTTCTGGTAACAGCCGCCATCTTGTATCAACTTGCTACGGTTAAGAATGACCAGCAGCGCCCTCTGCTGGATGGCGGCCAAACTACAACACTAAAATAATGTCTAATTTGACATGATTAGCTAATCAATTAGAGCTCATTTAATCTACTGAACCATAAATTAATTCTCGATTAATTGCTTGAGTGTTTTTTTGTCTTTGCTGACTCAGCGGGACCAGAGGATGACTACACAGACTACGTGGCGACCCGCTGGTACCGGGCCCCGGAGCTGCTGGTTGGGGACACTCAGTATGGACCCCCTGTGGATGTCTGGGCTGTTGGATGCGTCTTTGCAGAGCTTTTAAGCGGGAACCCTCTCTGGCCCGGGAAGTCTGATGTGGACCAGCTGTACCTCATCCGAAAAACTCTCGGTACTCAGAACGACGCTTTAAAAAACAGATTCCCTTCACATTCCCTGCGAATATACACCGGCTTTCTGAAGTATTCACACCCTTTAAACTTTTACTACCACAAACTTAGATGCATTTTATTAGCATTAGGGCTGATTAATCTGACTCATCAGATTAATTGTAATTAATCAGTTATCAAAATAATTGGCAACTAATCTTGTAAGACTCAGAAAAAGACTAATTGCTGAAAGAATGACACTCTTGTAGCAGTAATTGAGCCAAAATTGTGCAAAATGTATAAATACATTTATATAAATCCCAAAAATAATCAAATATATCAGGGTTGAGATTTTCACATGTTGATGTTAGAAGTGTTTATTTAGCTGCAATTGCTACAAATGATCAAGGATTCACAAAAGGAAAGCCTTTCCTGCATATTAACAATAAAATGTTTATTTTTTTATTTAAAAAAGAAATTTAATTTCATTGTCTTTTAATGTGTTTCTAATATTGTATTGAAAGAAGACTTAAATAAAAAAAATGCATATTGTCCACATTTTTTTTTCTGATTAATCGATTAATGGTCAGAATAATTGATTGATTAATTGATTGAACCTTGCGGCAATGTAAAAGTTATTTGTTTAAAACTTGTTGGAAGGAATTTAACTCCACATTTGGTCACATTTCGTCCTCCAGGTGACTTGATCCCTCACCACCAACAGATTTTCCGTTCCAACGTTTTCTTTTCCGGAGTCAGTATTCCTGAACCGGACACAATGGTAACCAGACACCTGAACCCAAAGATTACAACGTTTGGTCAAAATATTCATGGACTTGTCTTGTTTTATCCCAGGAACCATTGGAAAGGCGATTCCACGGCGCGTCTCCCCAAGCTCTTATGGTCATGAAGGTAAGAAACATTTATTTATAACATAGTCGATCAATAATCAAAATTGCTAAAACATGATGTCAGATTACTTTAAATTCAGCTTTCTGCAGAAAATTATGTTAATCTGCATCATGTTTGTGATCAATTTAGTCCAGCGTTTAAATGTTGGAACATGCTGACAGGTGTACAATTTACCAAAATAAAATGTAACGTACTGAAACTATACATTTTATTCATATTAATGACTTACTCACTTTTTATTTACATATTATTGACAGGAAGTTTATTTTCAGCAGCAGATATCAATCAATCAATCAATCAATCAATCAATCAATCAATCAATCGAACATGTTTATTATTGGCAGCTCAAAGTGGTCATGAAAACAAAAGCATCATATAGTGAGCAGCTGTAAAAACATGACATGCTGATGATTTTGTTAGGCTGGGTGTGGTGACTGAACGCCATCTGCAGTTTAAATTTTATTCAGTTTATTATTTTTTTTTCTGGCACATAGTGCTATTTTTTAACACAGTCAAGTAACGATTTTAGCTACTTGAATATGCTGCTTATATGAACATGATATTAATGAAATTAGACTTGAAATTGGGCCTCTGTCTCTTTAAGGGTGCGTTCACCAAGCCCTGTTTAGTCCTCCTCATATGAACTCTGGGTAATTACAACCAAAACCAAGTTTAGCCTAGCCTAGCCTGGCCTAGCCTAGCCTAGCACTAGCCTAGCCTAGCCTAGCACTAGCTCGAGAAACGTGTCATAATGTTTTACCCAAACAACAAAGAAATCCTGTGACATCACTCCGTTTTTGTTTACCTTTCGTTGCACTCATGTCTTGTTCAGAGGTTTTCATGTCGTTTCCTTCAGTAGTTCTTGGTGCAGCGCCCTCACGGGTGAGAAGGTGAACAGGTTTTCATTTAGTTTGGATCGTTTAATACAGTGCAGTGTGAAAAAGAACCACAGCAGGTGAAAATGTAACAGATGTTCTAACTTTGGTCCTGAATCGAACCGAGTCTACCAGAGTGTAGAGAGAAAACACAAAGACTGAATCTCTCAGGTTTTTAAAAACCTGAGGCTTGATTTGGACTGAAGGCCTGGGACTCAAGTTTAATGAGCGATCTTTGTTTCCTGTGATCAGGTGAAAGTAAACCGGTAAGCAGAGCTCAACTAGGACAGGAGGGCACAGATTCTCCTGTAAAAACTGTGTTTAATTTAGCAAAGATGGCTGCAAACTGTTTGTTCTTATACTTCATAGCAGGAACGTCCAAACCTTTTGCCACATGGGCCAAAATTGCAGAATCAAAAATCAGGCAACGGGCCACAACCGGCCCTTGGGCCTCACTTTTGACCCCCCTGCTTTATAGTAACTATTTATCTCACATTGAACTCTTTATTAGCACATGTAATCTGACATAATCTTCCCTGAAAGCTGTCTGGCGCTCATGCAGTGGGTGTTGAGACAGTGTTTGGTGTTTTTGGTCCAGTCCTGCCTGGTGATGGACCCGTCGCTGCGGCTGTCCTGTCAGGAGCTGCTGGAGCTACCATACTTCCAGGACGTGGGCGGGGCCACCTGGAGCCGTGAAGTGGAGCGCCCGGGGAGAAGACACGACAAAGCGTCCCGGCGCAGACAAGCTGGGGTAAAGACCGCTTCATGGTGAACAAAGTACCCAGCTCGAGTACTTCAGTAAAAGTATTGATGCTCATGGTAAAATCCAACTCCACTGCAAGTAAAAGTTGTCGGTTCAAAGTTTTTCTTTCTGCATTTGAAAGAAGTTTTAATAATTTCACTGAAATTTCTGCAAAATATCTTGGAGATTTTCAAGAAAAAAAACATGGAAAGTTTTTCAGAAATTTGTCAGATGAATCTCTTTTTTTATATATTTGAATTTTTTCTTACAAATGTTCAACTCATCAAAAATCAGAATTCTCAAACATTTTTTCTCCAAATTTTCTGAGATTAATCTAAAAATTTCTGAGCAATTTTTTTCTGTAAAAATTTCCTTGATTGTTTGAGAAAAAATTTTTTGGGGGAAATTTACTCTTCCTCCTCTTGTTTTGTAAAATATTCCTAAGAAAAAGAACCAGAACCGACGAGCTTCCCAGAACTGAAGTTTCCCTAAAAATAAATAATCAAGTGAAGATAAAGAGTATCAAATATAATCAAGCAAAATTTGCTGTGTTTCTGTGTACTAGTCACTTTGTCCAGTTAAAATGCATTTTCTCTGTTTTCTCTCTTTTCTCAGGTGCAGTACCTTCCTCAGCTGCCTCACAGTAACGTCTCTCCGGCCCCAGATGTCAAAAAACTAGTAAAACATAAATATCACCTGCCCAACATTTAAAATAAAACATCCACAACTTTATCTTCGGCCGTTCATAAACTGATACTCCGTGTTCCTGTTTTCTGCTGCATCCTGGCAGGTTAATAATGTAAAGCATCGTTCTTACTGTTCTGAGTCTCTTACACTAGAAAAATGTGAGACTTTGTGTTGTAAATCAAAAACACGTAGAAAACAAAGCAGCACAGGATGATGTGAACTCCATGTCCAACTTGTTGACCCGTTGAAGTCTGAAGGTTAAATAAAACCTGCCATGACAGCTGATCCTCTGAGCAAGTTGATGGATTTTTAACAAGCCTTCATTGATCCCCGCCGTCCGACACGGACACAGGGATCAGAACAAGCGGCCGCAGCAGCCTGACGGCGCGGCGCTCGGCTCCACGGGATCACCTGGCCTGGAACCGATCAACTTACACATGCAGCTCGCCGGTACGCCGCTCGCTCTGTGGACCGCCTGTTACACCGCACTGCAAAAATAAAAGAAACATTGTGCTCTGGTTCCTAGTGGAAATATCTCAGAACACTTGAAATAAGACGGAACTGAATGATAAGTAACTTTTCAGCAAGTCGTAGGAGCTTATTTTGAGTCAGTAATTCCTTATTTTGATGAAAAGGTTCCACTGGTACCACTGCGCCGTTACCTAGCAAGCCCGGCCAAGCCCAACTCGTCACCTGGCAACCAAGTCTAGTTCCATTTTCCAGATTATGAGGGAAACATCTAGAAACAAGAACTTTTTCATCAATATTAAGGAATTATTGACTCAAAATAAGCTCCTATCTCTTGCTGAAAACTGACTTATGATTTGGTTTTGCTTTATTTCAAGTGTAATAAGGTATTTGCACTAGAAAACAGGCCAAAATATTGGTAATATTCTGTGTTTTTGCAGTGTTAATCATAGACTTTGGTCCTGTCTGGAAAAATAATGAGACCAGAGAAAGTAAACATTATATGTAAACTCTCAGGAAGTAGTAGTAACAGTGTCCAACAGACACTGCGAGAACATTAGAAGAGCACACAATTTATAACAAGACAAACACATAACAATTTGGTTAAAAAAAATAGAAAATATCAGCCATTAAGAATTATAACACATAAAAACTGTTTTCCGCAATGGGTAAATGTTTTGTCATTCCTGTTCTCCTGGTTTGACGTTCACTGAACGTCGTCTGAACATTCACTTGCTAGCTGGGCTGCGGGGGAAGCTGGAGCACCAGACTGAACCCGCGCATGCACAGCGGACAAAATGCATATCTAATGCAGAAAGACCCACCGTGCAGCCCTGTTTTTTAACCAACCATCCATTTGGGGCAATTTAGAGTAATCAATTGAACTAAGATTTGAGATTTTGGATATTGCGGGGAAGCCTGACTCCAGGGGTAACCCACACATGCACAGGGAGCAAAACATTGTGTAATGAAGAAATGCCCCACTGTGGGGCCCTACTTTTTAACCATCCATCCATCCGTCCATCCATCCATCCATTTGGAGTAATCATTGGAACCGAATTTGTGATTTTGGGTTTAGCTGGCAAGGAATATTCAGACAACGTCCCTTTGTTTTAACTGGTCCCATTGAGATGCATTCCTAATTTAGTTTCACCACAATAAAGCTTTAAATTCAACTGAACTGAACGTTGTCCAGAATGTTCAGTGAATGTTTGCAGATGTTTGCCAAACGTCATAATGAAGCACCATTCAGCGGATTAGGATTGGGTGATCTTCCAAAACCAGATCAGAGGTTCACATTTGTCAGGACTGGCTGTTGGCTTTCAGGGTTCTCTGGTTTCTGATCTTCCGAAACGAGATTGTAAGGAGGCACCTGTATAAAACCTGGATGGTGCTAAGCCATCTCTCCGGTTTGGTCAGAATACACTTTGTAGGACATCTTGGAGACTGTGCTTTTTACAGATGTTTGTGTAAAAAACTCCACAGGTGTCATAGATGACTGTCAAAATTCTGTGTCTGTCTTCCGTATTAACTCTGGAGTTTCATCTTCACTGACTGGTGGTTCAGTTGCACCCTGGTCTTCCGGTTTGACTGATTCACCTTCTTCCGAAACAAGATCACAAGGGGACACGTCTTTGCTAATAACCAAACCCTCTACGTCTAAAGACTGTTTACGGGACTCTAAATCATCTTCGTCTGCAGACTGTCTGCGAGAAGATGGGGGTTCAATTGCGCCTTCCCCTTCATCCTCATTTTCTACAGGCTCCAGAGTTTGTGGGATTGGATGAACTTTAATGCCACGACAGAAAAATGTATGGATAGCGCTTTTGATGTTTTTCCAAGAAGTTGTCAGAGAGGATTGCGGGAGATTCACTTTTCTGGGATGTGCGAAGACTGTTCTGAAACACCATAGAATCTTGTAATCTACAATTGGGTGGTCCATTCTCATGAGATGGAAAAGTCTATCCCTTACTATATCCTCGTTTCCAGTTAGAAGTTGGAAGATGTCTTTGCTGAGTTTTTTCTCCATCTTGTAGAAAATGAGAAAATCTAGGTCCTGTAGTTCTTCCCACACGACGACAGAAAGCCGTTGGTAAACTGGTACAGTGTGTCTAAGTTTGTACGGGGTGGCAGATCTATAACTGGCCTTACAAATCAATTTCCAAACAACTATATTGACCATTTTTCGACGTTCCTTTTCTGTTCCATGCTTGATTAGTTCTATGTACCCTATCAATGATTTTCTTCTTCTAGCAGCAATGCTTCGAGTCTCGCCAAGGCAGTTTTCATCTGAATACAAGCTCTCAGTGTCAAACAAAGCATTTGTGAGCACTGTCCTTACAGATGAGAGAAATCTCTCAGTTTTTGTAGGCTCTGGAAGAATGGGATTCTCTAGGTGATACTTGAATTCTTTCACAATCCTTGGATATGCTTCTGGGTAGAAAAGTATCGTGAACAAATGCAACTCGCTAGCAATGTGGAAAGAATCTCTGGCGATGCTTTGGAAGATCCGTTCGCTTAGCTCGTCTGACATTTCCATCAAAAGGGACAGCTCTAGTTTCCCAGTTTCTTTCATAATTTGGCGTAGAAGCTGAATGTGGGCCACCTCAAAGGTTTCTCTGATATGATGCAGTGTTGGCATGTCTGCAACCTTCTCAATCACCTTCCAAAGAAGGTCTCCGACAGTTCTCTTCTTTGCATAATCAGGGCTCCAGTGTTGTTTTTTTCTGTAGCGTTTTGCAATTTTTCTACCAATAGAGCGACAAGAGTTTGCGAAGTTCTCAATCCAGGATAAATCAGCCATGTCTGTGTCTCTGACGTGAACTCCGATAATGGATTCTGTGTCTATAGATTGCAAACAGTTAGCAACTGGTCTATTCTACTGTTTTCTTGGAGTTGGTGATGTCACCAACACTGTGACATCACTGTGACATCACCAATCGCCCTTCGAATTGCATCAAAGATAAATTCATTCCGCTTGGCATAGAAGCCTTAGTGTCTGCACCATGGCAACTGGGGTACTGAGCATGCTCTGTAGCAAATGCTAAGGCAGATATGCTAACAGTGCTGTGGATTTAAAAAGGTGATTTTATTTCAGGGTTTCCCCCAGTGTATTATAAGCCTGACGGGCCTCCAGGCTTTACTTGTGCACCCGCCAGGCTAACTGTTGCTTACATATTTAAGTCTTTTTTAAATGTTTGCATTTTTTAAGACCTCATAGTTGGTGTTTGGGTATTAATCTTCCAATAACACATCATTATCAAGTGTTATTTTCAAATTTATTGTCAACTTTAAACATTTTTTAACTCAAAAAGACGGCTGGATGAATGACTGTCTCATCACTAGTTGTTGCTACGTTCTTTGAAACTAAGTGCGCATGTGTTTAAAAAAAAAGTTGTACTTGAAAACACGTCGATTTGTGTTTCTCTATCAGGTCTGCTCGGACTCTGCTCGCTTATGAAACATGGAACTGCCTGTTTGTCACCTGGCAACCTCTCAGCTAATAGAATGAATGTGTTGTACTGTGTGTGTTTGTTTCCTTCTACCTTTTCAATTGTGAACACCATAAATAGAAAGGAGTTAGCTTCCTGCAACAAGGAAGTAGCCACCGCTGGAAGCACAAACATATTAATTTGGTGCTAATAGCACGCCATAGCCTCCAGCCCAACGGCAGCAGGATGATCAACAGACAGATTTTAAAATTTGATGTTGTGTTTTTGAGGTGGTTCGGGGTTCCTTAGAAGTATTAACTTCCTTGGTTTTATTTTATGAAAATTACTTTACAAAAATGATAATTATGGCACATAATCTCAGTATAAACTCTTTATTTTTAATATTTAACCCAACAATTGTGTAACAAAAAAGCATCAATATTTACAACTAGGCATAAAAAATATGTAGTAATCATAACATCTTTTTTCAGCATCATCAAACTAATTTATTTATTTGTTTGCCTAAAACATTTTTTTATTAGATTTTCCACATAACAATGAGCAACATGCATAGACATTCAAGTCACACTTGAGACAGTACTTTGGAGAATAAGCATAAACTAATACATGACAAGAACCAAGAATAAAACAAAGCACATAAACAGAACCCACCAATCATTTCCATAAGTACTTGGATAGAAAGTAGATAACTAAAAAATAAACAAACAGAGGTAACAGAAAGTAAATAAACTATAAATTAGACAGAAAACAACTAAAACGGGGCACCTAAATGGCTTAATGTAGTCTGTGCTACTAAAATTGTTATAAGACTTAGTTAAAGGGTACATGTCAATAAAAGTGGGACGTCAGGGGGAGCACCACTCATGGGGTCACATCAAGTGACAAAGACATAATATGGTCCAAAAATGGTGACCAGCTTCTTGAAAACGTGATTTCAGAGCCTTTGACAGTATGCCTAAATTTTTTCCAGTTTCATGAAAGAAAGTGCATCTTTTATCCAATGAGAATGTGTGAGTGGGAGAGGATTCTTTCAATGCATCAGAATGATACGTCTAGTCAGTAGCGTAAGGAAGGCCACAAGGTCAGCATGATGGGGTGACAGTAACTGGTTTTTGGGGAGGACCACAAATAAAGCAGCGAGTGGAGAGCGCTGTATTGTGGCTGAAGTAATTACAGAAAGTGAGTCAAAAACAGATTTCCAAAACTGAGATAAGGAAGAATAGGTCCAAAACATAAGACTGAGAGTGGCTGGGCCCAAACCACACTTCACACAGCTTGAATCCACGTCCGGAAAGATTCAAGCCAGTTTGCTTTTTGTTTTGCTAAAACATTTTTATGGAAAGAAAGAGCTGGTGTATTTTTTTTTTTTTTTTGCGAAATCTTCATTGTTTCAGTCGTGTTAGTTGGATCAAGATATTAGTGAAGTAAATGCAGTTAAATTGTAATTATTATTGGAGTTGAACTGAAATGTCCCCTTTCATCGCGGCGTCGCGATGATTTTGTGAGAACGAGGCAGGTTGGCGAAGCTGCTGTACTCCGGGTTGAGGTTGATGCTGTCGGGGCCTTCAGGGCAAGTAAAGGTGAAGTCCTGCAGGAGAGTCACTATGAAGATAAAAAGCTCCATCCGAGCCAGAGACTCGCCCACACAGGCTCTTTTCCCTGAGGACGCAAAATGGAAGCATTAAGTCATGTTATAGTGCATGCTAACTGAATGTTAAAATCAAACATTAAATTATGCGTTCAGTCGTTTATGATATGCTCATTATTTTGACTTTATTCCCATTTTATTATAATATGCTTTTTTTCCCCGTATTATTCCGACTTGATTCTCGTAATAAAATAACTTTATTCTCCAAATATTACGACTTCATTCTCACAAGAATTTAATCTCTGAATGTTTCGAATTTATTTTCGGATTACTTAGACTTTATTCTTGTATTAGAACGACTTTATTATGGTAATATCATGACTTTATTCTCAGATTATTTTGTTATAAAATTATTACAACTTTACCCTCTTATTTGACTTTATTCTCGTTCAATTTTATTGTAATTTTATTAATTTATCGGCATAATTTCCTGACGTTATTTGTTATATTTACTCCTGTAGTTTTGAGGTGACATATTTACCTGCAGAAAAGGGCAGGAATGCTGGGTTTTTCTTAAAGTTCCCGTTCTGGTCCAGAAAGTGCTGCGGGTTGAAAGTATGCGGAGTCGCCCATTGCTGTTCCTCTTTAAGCACAGAGTGCAGCAACGGCACAATCACAGTGTCCTGCAGGGGAACAGCGGCACACAGAGTTACACCCAAGGACCGGCGCTAACTGCTGACCTTTGGCTGACCTTTGGGATGGTGTAACCCCTGAACGAGACGTCCTGCAGTGTGTAGTGAGGGAGACTGAAGGGGACGATGTCCAGGAAACGCTGAATTTCATGGATGACGGCGTCCGAGAACGGTAGCGATTTCCGATCCTCCATGTTGGGGCATCGCTCCCGTCCAATCACAGAGTCAATCTCCTCCTGCATTTTCTCTGGAGAAGACGAAAGAAAAACCGGCACACTGTCAAAAATCGTGTTTTCGGTCCAGTTTCCAGTGAAAACGTCTTAAGAGAAAACCAACTTGTAATAACTTTTCAGGAGCTTGTTTTTCAGTCCATAATTCATCAGTATTGATAAAGTTCGACTTCCTCTAATTTCCCTAACGTTGTCGTTACCTAGCAACCCAAGCAAAACGCGGTGCGTCTCCTAGCAACCAAATCCTCCTGCCTCTGCCAAATTGTTTCACTGATAACATAAATAATCTACCAGTAGCACCTTTTCATCAATATTAAAGAATTACTCACTTTCAACCAGCTTTTGCAATAAATTGCTAATATTTTGATTGTGAAATCAAAACAATCAATAATAAAGTCCTGATATTTAGTTGGTAAAGTCTCGTTTACCCTGAATGTGTCTGTGTTTGATCAGCACACTCAGAGCGTGTCTGATGGTGGAGCTGGTGGTTTCTGTTCCCGCCAGGAACAGATCCATCACAGTCGCCACCAAGTTGTCGTAGTGGAACTCTGTGGAGGGATTTTCTTTCTCCTGGACGGAAAAGTAGATCCAGAATGTTACGGATTCACAAAGAAGACACCTTTTGCACAAAATATGAGCTTTTAGCAGCAAATGGCTAAAATCCACCAATACTGGAAACCTCTATGAAATCGAATATAACTCATAGCTGCCTATTTTAATAGTTTTCTCAAGATTAATTAATTTTCTGATCGTTTTCTCAAGACAACAAGGTGAGTAGTGCGTGTTAAAACCCATCCCATCCTTCAAATTATGACTTTATTTTGAGAATAAAGTCAAAATTATACAAGAAGAAAGTAATAATTCTACAAAAATAAAGTAATAAAAGAATAAACAATATGAGAATAAAGTAAAAATTTAGGACAAAGTCACAACCTTAAAACTGTGTCAATATTTCAAGAATGACTTCAAAGTCATAATAGCATGAGAATAAATTAATAATATTAAGAGCACAAAGTCGTTTGAGAATAACGGTAATATTTCAGGTTTAATACACAAAGACGTTTGGAAGGAAATAAACGTCAGAAGTAAATTTTCTATGTTGCTGTTGGTTGATTTGGTTTATAGAAACAGGAAATCTTCCCGGTCTTCCCGACCTCATGACCTCGGATGAGGAAGCAGTCGATGAAGTCTCTGGGATCGCTGGGATCCAGTGTGTCTCTGTGTTCTTGGATCTTCGTCTTGACAAAGTCTCGGATCTCCTCGATCTTTTCAAAAACGACGTGCTGCTTGCCAGGAAGTCGCTCCATGAGCCACGGGAAGATGTTGTACATCTGAGGGAGCAGATTTAATCCACAACGCATCATAAACAGGAAAGTTTAGCAGAATAAAATTAGTAGTTGTGGTTAGTGGATTTTGACTTTCAGTAACAGAATGCTGATATTTAATCTAAGAAATCAAGCTTTTTTCTCTGGATTCAGACATTTTAATCTCATAATTTTAACTTTTTCCTATAATCCCATAACTTTGACTTTTAATCTCAGACTGTTTCATTTCAAAATTCTAACTTTTTTCTCAGATGTCAGATTTTAATCCTAAAGTTCTGACCTTTTTCTCACAATTCAGATTATTTTTCTCACAGTGCTGACTGTTAACCTCAAATTTCTAACTTTTTATCCTGATAATTAGATTTTATCTCAAAATTCTCAAATTCCTTTCAGATTCTGACAATTAATCCCAGAATTTTTCTCTATCTTCTGGGACTGAAGGTTGGTATAAAGTTTGAGTTCTCAGATCAGAAATCAGCTTTCTGAGAAAAAAAAGGGGGAATAATGGGATTAGAAAGGATTAAAGGATTCGTCTAAATATTTATTCTTATAAATCTGCCTTTTAATCACAAAATTTTGACTTTTCCAATAAGAATGCTGAGTTTTAATGAAAGAATTATGACTTATCCCTCAAAATGAAAAAATTGAATCCAAAATTCTGAATATTTTTGTCTGGGATTTAATCCCAAAATTCTGACTCTAGTCCAGACTTTCAGGAATTAAATGCCGACTTTACGGAGGCGCCAGCTCTTACCAAGGCCTCAGGGCTGCTGTTGAACCTGACGATCATCGTTATGACAGCCAGTAGATTCACAAACTGCTTGTCTTCGTAGCTGAAGCGCCGTCCGAACACCAGGCAGGAGACCACGTTGGACACTGTGCGGCTCAGCAAGATGGTCGGGTCGAAAGATTCACCTGGAAGTGAAAATAAAACATTGCCAAACAATATCTTTTTGTTTCAAGTGATTTCCAACATTCCTTTCTGTAATCAGTTTTATCAGTTTTTTTATAGTTGTTTTGTTTTGCAGTGACAGAAAATTACGGGATTTGCAAAAAGTAAAAATTCTGACAGTCTTTCCTCAGATTTCAGGCTTTAATCCCAAACTGTTGACTTTTTTCCCCAAAATTCTGCCATTTCATTTGAGATTTTAAACTTTTAGTCTCAGAAAAACATTTCCTCAGAATTCTGAAGTTCAACCCCATAATTCTGACTTTTTTCTCAAAATAAGATTTAATTTCAGAACTACAACATTTTTTTTCAGAATTCTGACGTTTAATCCCAAATTACAATATTTTTCTCAAATGTAATTTAGCTGTTTTAATTTATGCATTTTTTCTCAGAATGTTGACTTTTAATTTCAGAATTCGACATTTGTTCTCAGAATTCTTGAATTTAATCCGACAATTGTGACTTTTCCTCCAAAATAAGACTTCTAATCTCAGAATTGTGCCTTTTTGGCTTAATTTCAGGAATGTAACTTTATTCTCAGTCATAATTCTGATTGATAATATTTCAGATTTTAAGCCCACAATTTTCACTTTTTTTTCTGAGAAAAACATTTTTAATTTTAGAATTATCATTTTTTTCCTCAGAGTTCTGACTTTAAATCTCTTGATTTTGTTGTTCCATGGATAAATTATTTCACATATAACAAGACATTTTTCCATGTTATAAATTTGCCAGTGGAACTAGAAACGGGTTGATAGGTAACGGCGCAGTGTAACATTCTAGTAGAACTAAAACTTTTTCATGAATATTAGGAAATTATTAACTTAAAACAAGCTCCGATATCATGTTAAAAAGTTATTTGAAACTTATTTCAGGCGTATTAAGACACTTGGTAGTGCTTGGAAAGATTTTGTGTTTCTGCAGTGTGTAATATGTATTTTTGGTGATATTCTTGATAATTTGTTTAATCAACATGATCAATAAAGACCTCTGTAGGTGTACATGCGAGCCCTCAGGTGTTTGCTCTCCTCCTGGATCCACTCCTCCATCCCTTTCTTTCCCATCCCAAAGTCTCGTAGAGTCGACAGAGTGAAGCGCCGCAGCTGACGCCAGCGGTTCCCATTGCTGATCCCAATTCCTGTCAAACAGAAATGTTCAACTGCAGCAAAATGCTCCGGGAGTCTCGACAAGCAATTTAAGATTATGTTTGAAGCAGTTACCGTATCCTCCGGTGGCTCTGTGCAGAATCGGCACCGGCGCTCGGCCTGTGAAGTCGTCTGCTTGGTCCACCAAAGCTTCCTTCACTGCGTCGTATCCGACCAGAACGACGACCCGCTGCCAGCCCAGGTTAAAGGTCATCACAGGACCGTAGGTTTTACTGAACTGAATGAAAAACTAAATATAAATGATACACTCTTATGTTGACTTTATAGCTGTTAAGACTTGTCCTTGTCCCTTGTCCTCTAGCGCTGACCTCTGTTACTGGCAACTTCTACTATGAAACTCATTATTTATTATCAGAATGCTTTTTGTATTTTCCCAGTGTGTTATGTGTGTTTTCGATGACATTTTAATCTCACGTTTCTGACGTTTTCTCACAATACTGAAATCTTCACTTGGACCTATAGCACAGAGAATGAACCGTGTTCAATGCTGTTGCAGGTCTCCTTCTTTTTCTTGATTTGTTTTGGCGTTTGGGGAGAAACGTTGCATTACCACCAGCCGCCTACTGATACGCTAGGGTTTGTAAAAAAATAATTAAAATGTGGATAATTTTATCATCCGAATCTTCCTGTGAAATACTTATAAAATTAAATGTCATTTCTTTCCCACATTCCTCCAACATTAATCTCCTTTCTATCCACAAACTAGAATAAGATGATTGTTCAAGTCCTTTCCTGCACATTATTGACATTTTTATGTTGCTGTTAAGTGCAATGTGTCCAATTTTCAGTCCAACTGCTGCAGTTTGTGAATCTGTTTGCGTGGTTCCCGCATTCCATTCTGTCTACGGAAACCTATGGGAATGTCCTAACTCTGATCATACGACACCAGTCCATCAAATTAAACTCCCAACAGAATATTTTTATGTTGTTGTTGCAACTGTGGATCAGGTGCGCAACCTGCTGATTAACTTCAATCCCAAACTCACCTCCAGGAAGCTTTTGAACGGCGCCGCCTTTTCCATCTGCAGCAGGTTTCCTATGACAGGCAGCGGACTGGGTCCAGGAGGCAAACGGTACTTCTGCCTGGTTTTACCAGAGCAGAACCAGAGCAGAGCTAAGACCAGCACCGGCAGGAGAAAAGTTGCAGAAAATTCCATGTTGCTCTGCACCGCCTCTGTCTGGGTGGGTTAAAGCAGAGCGGCTGTTTTTGTTTTGCACACTGGAACCACGTGACTCACCTTTAGCACAGCGCACGTTCACCTGGAAAAACCCATTTTCACTTCAAAACACAAAGTATTACCTGGCATTTTTGGTCTAGTAGCTTCAAATACCTTACAAATGTTAAGTAAAAAAAATATTAGGGTCACGTGACAACAGTGATTGATATATATATATATATATATATATATATATATATATATATATATATATATATATATATATATATATATATATATATATATATATATATAGACTGGATTCGAATCCAGTCTGGGTCCTTAGGCAAGACCCTTCAAGCTACTGCCTACCTCATACCATGAGAGATACTAAGTTGCATAACATGCCGGCTCAGACGTCGCCCGGCCAAACAAGGTCTGCGTCAGGTGTTGGGGAACCAGAGCACCTTGATGACAAATGGGCTACTGGAACAAGACGGAAATGGGCGAGAGATGAAAATGTGGATCTGTTGGAATGCTACTACTCAAGTAACCCTAGTGAGAGAGGTTACATGCAAAGACTGGGGAAGGAATGGTTACTTCGACATCCCCAGTCAACACTAAGCGCTAAACAACTAGTAGCTCAGTGTTCCAACATCCGCAAACGGCAACTGCTATCACAACTTGAGATTGACGAGATACAACACAAATGCTACGGCAAAAGGGAGGAACCCGGATGTCAGGACTGTGGGGACTTAACTACAAGTCCCCACCCAGTGAGGGGATACACGGCCCCAATGAGCGAAACAGAGCTGAACGAGACAGCTGCTGACCTGAGAGAGAGAATCATGACCCGAATGACAACCAGGCCTCCCCGGCGCCAATTACAACTGCTGAGTGAAGTACCATCTGAAAGTCTCATTGAGAATGTGAATGCAGCATTGAGAACGATCCCTACCAACACCATAACAGAAACCAATGAGCTGATCTACAACTCAGCATCAGTGATCCTTGAGATACTTGGCTATAAGAGCAACCATGAGACCCAATACCCACCATGGAAAAGACGGTTAGAGGCTAAAATCAAGGTAACAAGGAGGGAAGTGAGCCAACTGTCAGAGCTCCACAAGGGTGCAATGAAAAGACCAGTACTCAGAAAGTACAGGCAGATGCCCATACCTGAAGCACTCGAGACTGCCAAACAGAGGCTCCAAGCCTTGGCCAGCCGCCTAAAGAGATACACAAGGGAGAATGAATCCAGAAGGATTAACCGGCTCTTCTCCACTCAACCAGCTAAGGTGTACTCTCAATGGCAGGGTAACAATAACAACAGAGCAGACCCACCAAGGCTGGAGACGGAACAATACTGGAAAGGCATATGGGAAAGGGAGGCGTCCCACAACAGCAATGCACAGTGGCTGATCTCTCTACGAGAGACCACAGCAACCTCCCTGAGCAAGCCCCGGTAACCATCACTGTGACAGATGTCCAAGAAAGAGTCTCAGGTATGAAAAACTGGACAGCACCAGGGCCTGACATGATCCATGCCTACTGGCTAAAGAAACTCACTGCTCTCCATGAGCGAATGGCAGCCCAAATGAACCAGCTGCTACAAAGTGGGACTCACCCTGAATGGTTAACTGAAGGGCGGACAATCCTAATCCAGAAGGATCCATCAAAGGGTCCAGTCCCACCCAACTACCGACCAATAACCTGCCTCTCCACAACCTGGAAGCTCATGTCAGGCATCATAGCGGCCAAGATAAGCAAACACATGGATAAACACATGAGCACGGCACAGAAGGGTATCGGTGTAAATAGCAGAGGAGCCAAACACCAACTCCTCGTAGACCGCACAGTTGCCCGAGACTGCAAAACCCGACACACCAACCTGTGCATGGCTTGGATTGATTACAAGAAAGCCTATGACTCAATGCCGCATACTTGGATCATTGAATGCTTAGAGATGTATAACATCAACAGGACTCTGAGAGCCTTCATTGCAAACTCGATGAGGCTGTGGAAAACCACCCTTGAAGCCAACTGCAAACCACTTGCACAAGTGTCCATCAAATGTGGCATATACCAAGGAGATGCTCTGTCCCCGCTACTGTTCTGCATAGGCCTGAACCCCCTCAGCCAAGTTATCAACAAGACTGGCTACGGATACAGACTCAAAAATGGGGCCAATATCAGTCACCTACTCTACATGGATGACATCAAGCTGTACGCCAAGTGTGAGCGAGACATCGACTCACTGATCCACACCACCAGGATCTACAGCACTGACATTGGGATGTCATTCGGACTAGAGAAATGTGGTCGGCTGGTCACAAAGAGGGGGAAGGTCATCCACACAGAAGGGGTCTCACTCCCAGAAGGAACAATAGCAGACATAGAGGACAGTTACAAGTACCTAGGTATACCACAAGCAAATGGCAACCTCGATGAGGTCACAAGGAAAGGAGCCACAGCTAAATACCTCCAACGAATAAGGCAAGTCCTGAGAAGCCAGCTCAATGGCAAGAACAAAATCCGTGCGATAAACAGCTATGCCTTGCCAGTAATCAGATACCCTGCTGGAATAATTAGCTGGCCAAAGGAGGAGATAAAAGCCACAGATATTAAGACCAGAAAGCTACTAACAATACATGGAGGGTTCCATCCCAAATCCAGCACCCTGAGACTGTACACGAGCCGCAAGGAAGGAGGCAGAGGACTAGTGAGTGTGAGAACCACTGTCCAGGACGAAACAACTAAGATTCATAAATACATCAGGGACAAAGCCTCAACAGACAATGTGCTCAGTGAATGTCTCAGACAACAGGGAACGGAGGTTGAGGTGCCAGAGATACCATCATGGGAGGACAAACCCCTACATGGGATGTACCACCAGCAAATAATCCAAGTGGCTGATATCAGTAAATCCTACCAATGGCTGGAAAAAGCTGGACTCAAGGACAGCACAGAGGCCCTCATCCTGGCAGCCCAGGAACAGGCCCTAAACACCAGAGCAATAGAGGCCCAGATCTACCACACCAGACAAGACCCAAGGTGTAGGTTGTGCAAGGAGGCCCCTGAGACAGTCCAGCACATCACAGCAGGGTGCAAGATACTGGCAGGGAAAGCGTACATGGAGCGACATAACCAAGTGGCAGGCATAGTGTACAGAAACATCTGTGCAGAATATGGACTGGAAACCCCAAGATCAAAGTGGGAAACACCCCCAAAGGTGGTGGAGAACACCAGAGCTAAGATCCTGTGGGACTTCCAGATCCAGACAGACAAAATGGTAATGGCGAACCAACCAGACATTGTCGTAGTGGATAAACATCAGAGGAAAGCCGTTGTGGTAGATGTAGCAATACCAAGTGATTGCAACATCAGGAAAAAGGAGCACGAGAAACTAGAGAAATACCAGGGCCTCAGGGAGGAACTGGAGAGGGCCTGGAAGGTGAAGACCACAGTGGTGCCTGTGGTCATCGGGGCCCTCGGGGCAGTAACCCCCAAACTGGAGCAGTGGCTACAACAGATCCCAGGAACAACATCAGACATCTCAGTCCAGAAATGTGCAGTCCTTGGCACAGCCAAGATACTGCGCAGAACCCTCAAGCTCCCAGGCCTCTGGTAGAGGACCCGAGCTCAGAGGATAAGAACCACCCGCCGTGGGTGAGAAGGGAATTAATTATTTTATTATTATATATATATATATATATATATATATAAAATTCCCTTCTCACCCACCGCGGGTGGATCTTATCCTCTATATATATATATATATATATATATATATATATATATATATATATATATATATATATATATATATATATAAATAGAGAGAGAGAGAGAGAGAGAGAGAGAGAGAGAGCGAGAGAGATAGATATATAATTATTTCAGGCTTGGTAAAACTATTATGTAAACAAAGCAAATTGTAAGCAAAAGTTAATTCTCCCAATTTGAGGTCTTCATTAGGAGTTTTTGTGCAGTAATCTAAAGCTGTTTTTATTCTTATTAATATATGACATCTATCGTATTTTCGGTGTTTAAAAAAATAAAAATAAAAACATCATTTTTGTCTGCGTTGACTAACGTCAGGCTCGTGTCCCTTTAAGACGCTGCGTTACGTAAACACTGTTGTCACGTGACCCTAATCTAGCCTGTAAACAGGAAGTGAAAGAAGAAGCGACGTTTCCAAACTGAGTCTTTTTAACCAAAGACTTATGTGAGGAAGAATTACAAACCGGACATTTTGTCACCCGAGGAAAGGAGAGAAACGAGATTATGATCATATTATTTTTATTTCAGAAAAGTAAACGGACCGGGGGGCGTGGCTTAAGTGAAGGCGCGGCCATCACGAGATGAGCATCTCGGTCCATGAGGGAGAGTTAGCATCATTGGAGTTGAACTGAAATGTCCCCTTTCATCGCGGCGTCGCGATGATTTTGTGAGAACGAGGCAGGTTGGCGAAGCTGCTGTACTCCGGGTTGAGGTTGATGCTGTCGGGGCCTTCAGGGCAGGTAAAGGTGAAGTCCTGCAGGAGAGTCACTATGAAGATAAAAAGCTCCATCCGAGCCAGAGACTCGCCCACACAGGCTCTTTTCCCTGAGGACACAAAATGGAAGCATTAAGTCATGTTATAGTGCATGCTAACTGAATGTTTAATCCAGAATCTTCTCCATGCATGACCCCTCCCAAAGAGCCGCAAATCTACATACAATTATACCAAATATGTAAGGAAATGTCAACTTGTTTATTCACTATTCCTTAATTATTACATTATATGCCTTCAGATTTTAGGTTACAGTGAATTTATTACCAGATAATAAAATTTTCCACCAAAAGCAACCATTTGATGATATGAAATGTTTAATATTTTATATTTACCTGCAGAAAAAGGGAGGAATGCTGAGTTTTTCTTAAAGTTGCCATTCTGGTCTAGAAAATGCTGAGGGTTGAAGGAATATGGAGTCGTCCATTGCTTCTCGTCTTTAAGAACGGAGTGCAGCAGCGGGATAATGAACGTTCCCTATAAAGACACAACAGGAGAAGCAATATTCAACAACAGTACAACCAGAATCTGTCATGGTTGTGCAGCAGACCTTCTTTTGTATGGAGGGAACATAAGTCATGAACAAACCACAACTAAACGAATCCTTGATGATATGACAAACCTATAGCAGTTTTTATTTAGCACTAATTTGCTAACTTTGAAAATGTTTAGCGCTTGTTTCTGAACCCTCAAGTGTTACTCTTAAAATACTAATATTTCCACAAAAATTTAGATTTTGATCTGTTAGGTAATGTTTAAAAATTAAATGGTCAATGTTTTGATCAGTACTTGAATTGCCTTTTTACCAAATACTTTTCTACTTTAATTTCTTGGACAGTTACTTCATACTTTTACCTACTAAATAAACTAGATAGGGTAAAAAATATGGTGAAATACTCCTACTTGAGTACAATTTTCAGTTCTCTGCTATCCTTTACCTACTAAAGACTCTTTACAAACACATTTACTGAGGAAAAACCGTGACGTTTTCAAAGCAGTACCTCAGGAATCGTGTAACCCCTGAATGAGATGTCTTCCAGAGCAAAGTGAGGGAGACTGAAGGGGACGAGGTCCAGGAAACGCTGAATTTCATGGATGACGGCGTCCGAGAACGGCAGCGATTTCCGATCCTCCATGTTGGGGCATCGCTCCCGTCCAATCACAGAGTCAATCTCCTCCTGCATTTTCTCTGGGCAAGACGATGCAAAATGGACGCCTGTTTAAGTCTTCACAATACCGTTTATTGTCTCAGCAACAAACTGTGTTTATCTACAGACCCTGGATGTTCTTGTGTTTGATCAGCACACTGAGAGCGTATCTGATGGTGGAGCTGGTGGTTTCTGTTCCTGCTACGAACAAATTCAGCACAGTAGCAAACAGGTTGTCATAGTGGAACTCAGTGGAGGGATTGTCTTTTTCCTGAGAGAAAAAAAAGAGTTTTTTCATATTAATGTCAAAATATTTCATTGTTTCCACCAGGAAACCTGCTCAACCAGGTACACCGCAAAAATACAAATTCTTACCAAGAAACTTTGGTATAGTTTCTAGTGAAAATATCTCGGTACACTTGAAATAAGAGAAAACTAACTTATAAGTAACTTTTCAGCTAAATGCAGGAGCTTGTTTTAAGTCAATAAATCCTCATTTTCATGAAGAAGTACTCGTTCTACTGGCAAATTATTTCACTTATGACAATAAATTTTTCCCATATTATGATTGAAATAATCAGCCAGTTACTTGTAAGTTTTTATATACTAAGGTATTTGTACTTTATACTAAGATATTTGTACTAGAAACTACACCAGCATTTCTGACGTTTTGTGTTTTTGCAGTGTAAGAGCAGTCATCCCATCGTGGTTTTGAGTTAAACTGTTTAAATTTGGCAAGAAATGTGAAAATATGACTACGAGACAAAATAAATCTAAATCTCATGCACTTCAGTTGTTTTGTCCAATTTAAATTTAGGTCAATATGATGTATTTTTCAATCCTTGTGGACATGTCACTTTATTCGCTGTAATTGCTAACATTACAGCAATTAGACTGATAATTGCCAGCAGCAGTTAAGAAAAGAAAACAAAAAGACACTTGACCTCCATCTCCCTGTGTTCACATACTGACTAATGTGGCCAATGTGCTTCTAACCGTTTCACCCAAAAAACTATAAACCATCTATGTTGTTGTTTAGTTCTATTACAAATGTTTGTAAAACTTTGTTGATATTCTGCTAATTTTGAAAAAACACAACTGTATGCTGAATAATCTATTTAATAATAATAATCTATAACAATCTCATCTGAGCACCAAAACTTTATATCCAAAAACGTGTTTTGTTGCTTTTCTTTTTAATTTGCATGTTTTCAGTAGGCAAATTTATTTTAATAATCCCAATTTGCACAATTATAAGGTCAATGGAAATGCAGCTTTTGTTACTGGTGTATAAAAAAAAACTAAAATAATTCAACAAAACAGGTTTAAACTGGTGGGGGTGGTAAGTAAAACTTGGCAGCCCGCCAGGCTCATAATAATATACTGCAGGAAAGACAATCTGTATGTTCATTCTTTTGCTGATTTTATTTAATAAGATCAAGTAATCTTGATAATTTCCCCAACCTGATGAGCTCGGATGAGGAAGCAGTCGATGAAATCTCTTGGTGAGCTGGGATCCACTGTCTTTTTGTGCTCCTGGATCTTCATCTCCACAAAATCTCGGATCTCTTCAACCTTGGCGAAGACGGTGTGATGCTGGCCAGGAAGCTGCTCCATGGCCCACGGAAAGATGTTGTACATCTGTGGAAGAAAAAGCTGCATCTTTGTTTCCCAGAACATAGTAAAACCAATTCTTTGTGGAACAACGTTGTGCTTTAACTTCCACATCCATTCCTAACGTCGAGTGATTAATTTTAGCCTGAGAGAGATCACTCCTCCTATGCACCTCCAGACTAGTGGCAGCAACAATTAGAAAACACTTGGTGGAATAGTCTAGTGCTCCTAAGAATGCTCCTAGCAACCCAGTTCTAGTTTCACTAGAACTGGGCTGGCACTGATTATTCCACTTATAACAAGGAAAAATGTCTTATTATAAGTTAAATTATCTAAAACTAGAACTTTTTCATCCAAACTAAGGAAATATTTCCTCCAAACAATCTTCTGTAGTTTAGTTTTGTCTTATTTCATAGATATTTTCTCTAGAAGGTAGACCAAAGCAACTTGGTAAGATTTTGTTTTTGTGAAGTGTTTTTGTGTTTTTTGTTTTTGGGCCGCCTCCCACTTACCATACCCAAAGGGCTGCTGTTGAACTTGATGAATCTGGAAATGACGCCGAGAAGCTTCAGAAACTGCTTGTCTTCATATCTGAAGCGCTGGCCGAACACCAGGCAGCAGACGATGTTTGACACGGTGCGGCTCAGAAGGACAGTGGGGTCAAAAGGTTCTCCTGGAGGCAGAAACAGCAACACAACAGACTTGATTTACAAAGGCTTGCAAAAAGCTAAAACATTTGCTTACTTTTTAACTGCTTGAACAGTAACCTTTTGAGTTGAAAATTTGCTAGAAAAAGTTTTTATTAACCTTTACCTTGACACCCATCTTTTAATTGAAAAAAAAAAAACCTGCCAGTGACTAATACTTCTTATCAATATGAAGAAATTATTGACTCAGAGAAGCTTCTATATCTTGCTGAAAATCTACTTGAAAGTTAAATAGTCTTATTTTAATTATACTAAGATATTTTCACGAGGAGCTAAACCAAAACCACATGGTAAGATTGTGTTTCTTGTAGTGAAGTAGGAAGATTTAAATTAGAAAATGTGTAAATAAACCTTTTAGCCCTCATTTCAAAAAGTCGATGCCTTACCTTTGAAACTGCGTATGCGAGCCCTCAGGTGTTTGCTCTCCTCCTGGATCCACTCCTCCATCCGTTTCCTTCCCATCCCAAAGTCTCGTAGAGTCGACAGAGTGAAGCGCCGCAGCTGACGCCAGCGGTTCCCGTTGCTGATCCCAATTCCTGTCAAACAGAAGCAGGCATCCAGGCAAACTTCAATATTTTGCTGGAAAGTTACTTATATGTTAGTTTTGTTTTATCTGAAGTGTACTAAGATATTTTCACAAGAAACGAGACAAAAATACTTGGTATAAATTATGGCGCTCATTTTTAGCTGCCATTGATTGATTAATTGGTTTTTGCGACAGCAGTGGATGTCGGTGGTTACCGTATCCTCTGGTGACTTTGTACAAAAATGCCAGCGGCGCTCGGCCTATGAAGTCGTCTGCTTGGTCCACCAAAGCTTCCTTCACCGTGTCATATCCGACCAGAACGACGACCCGCTGCCAGCCCAGGTTAAAGGTCATCACAGGACCGTAGGTTTTACTGAACTGAATGTTAAAACAGAAGATTATTTAAACAGGAAAACTAATTGACATTTGTGTGTGATTGGTTGAAACGTGGTTATTTCAAAAGCTGACTAGTCTGGTTTGGATGAAGCAGTGGTCAGATTCAACCACCAGGGGGAGCTAGCGCTAGCTATAGTGAAGAGCACCGGAACTTCCTCCATAATCGCTGAAGCACCGTGTCCGGGTCTTCTACCAAAATACTCCCCTTCTTCAGGTATTAGTATATATATACGTATACACACCTGTAGATTGTAAATTAGTTTACTAATTTTCAGAAACCGGGTAGTTTTCGGACGCTCCGAATGTTAACAAATTATGGTGTTAGCTCCACTATTAGCGCCCTTGCTAACGTACTGCCGCTTCAAGCCTATATCGTTGGGTATGTTTGCAAGCTAAATTGAGTTAATAATCACATTCGCTGGAGCAGGAGCATCATGTCCGGCTCTTTAATTAAAATGTTCTCCTTCTTCAGGGCATCTACTTGCGCAGACGTCAACAGAAACTGCGAATTTCTTTAAGAAACCAAATCTTACCAAGTATTTTTGGTCTTAATTTCCAGGGCAAATATCTGAGTACACTTGAAATAAGACAAAATTAACTTACAAGTAACTTTTCAGAAAGGTACAGTAGCTTGTTTCAAGTAAATAATTCCTTAATATTGATGAAAAGGTTCTAGTTTCACTCAGATTATTCGACTTAGAACATGGAAAAACGTGATGTAGTGAGTTAAATAATCTGCCAGTGAAACTTGTACTCTTTAAATGAATATTTAAGGCTTACGGACTTCAAATGAACTCCTATCTGGATGAAAAGTTAATTGAAAGGTATATATTTTTTATTAATTCAAGTGTTTTGCAGTGTACCAACGTAATTTGTGCTACTAAATCAATGTTTTAAAGTATTTGTTGAAATAAATTAGTTTTAAAGGACAGTTTAAATCACAAATTCAATGAATACACAAAACCTATGTGCAAAATGTGTTTGGTTACAAAAAGTCATGTTTAAACCACAGTTAGCTGCAAATACACAAAATCTTACCAAGTCTTTTTGGTCTTCTTTGCTGTGAAAACATTTTAGTTGACTTGAAATAACCAGAAAAGTACTTCACAGAAACTTTTCTGAAAGATCTAGGGCTTGGTTTAAGTAAATAATTACTGGTTACTCTTAAGAGAAATGTATTTAATCAAAGAATGTCATGAACTCCATTTTTTTAATAAATCACTCCATTCACTTCTGTGACTCACCAACTCACCTCCAGGAAGCTTTCAAAAGGTGCATTCTTGTTTATTTGCAGCAGGTTTCCTATGAGCGGCAGCGGATTGGGTCCCGGGGGGAGACGGTACTTCTGGTTGTTTTTAACAGAGACGAACCAAAGCAGACCGATCAGCCCTGCCAGAAGCAGGGTTGCGTAAAACTCCATAACTCTCTCTGTGGTTAGCAGGTGTCTCTCTCGATCAGACCGATTGGTTTTCCTGTCTGATGCGTTGTTTATATTTAACAGGGAGCGGTGAGGCCCACGTGATCCGACAGAGTGTACTTTCACCTAATTATCAGTGAAAAGCTGTTCGTCACTTTTGCCTAGACAAACGCGCTCAAAAACCTCAGTAAACAGAAGTTTTTTTTTTGTCACAAATTATGACATTTGAGTAGATTTTTGTTGAGTTTTGAACCAGAAAAAAATGCTACAATAAAGTTTATGGTGAGCTAAAACTGAGGGAATGTTGGTTTCTTTCCAAGTGTGGATGGTAGATTTGAAAAGAACCTGGTTTGGAACCAACACTACACTGCAAAAACACAAAATTCTACCAAATATTTTGGTCTCGTTTATACAAATAAAAAAAGTAATTTACAAGTAACTTTTCAAGAAGAAACGGGAGCTTGTTTTAAGCAAACAATTTCTTAATACACACAAGATACCAGACAAAAATGACTTGGTAAGATTCTGTGTTTTTGCAGTGAAGATATATCTGGGGGCGTCCCACAAGGCTCTACGCTCGGCCATTTTCTGTTTAGTCTCTTCATGAATGACCTTTATAAAGTCACTTATGATTTTTCAGTGTTAAGAGTTGAAGATTATTAATCCTGAAGTGTTAAAAAAATAAATTTAAATATAGTTTCATGTTTGCATTTGAATTGAAAAGAAGGGAAATCTTACATATGTATGATTTAAAAAAATACCTTCGTTGTTCTGGAATTGAAAAAGAGACGATAGTAGTGGATTAATCTTCTGCAGCACTACCCAGCAACCCCAGGAAAGTCCAGCCTGTTTTCACAGTGAAGCTGATGAGTGACTGAAAGCTGCCTTTGCTGCAAAAAGCCCCCATCATCACTCCTCTACCACCATGCTCAACAGTTCGGATGAGTTACTAGTTATGACAAGCACCACGAATTGTACATCGCTAAGAAAAATGTTATGGTTCATTTAGATAAAACTCTTTATGTGTAAATCTGCAGCATCATCGCCGCTCCGATTCCTGAACCGCTGTTTGCTCTGATCCGACGCAAACAGAGCAAACGTTGAACTGGAGTAAAAGCCACGGAGTCACTGCAGGGTTTATTTACAGTTCTTTAACAATCAGTCGTAAATCTCTGTGCCAACTGTAGGAAAAGGCTCTTCTTCTCAGATCAGGTGAAAAGGCAAGTCTATAGATGACATTAAACACAGTGGGACGTTTGCGCAGTTACAAGAAAACGAGGAAAAAGAACAGAAGTGTGAGATAAAATGATCCCACACTGCAAAAATACAAAATATTACCAAGTATTTTTGATTGAGTTAGTAGAGTAAATGTCTTACTACACAGGAAATAAAACAAAATATAGGAGTTTTTTTTAAGTAAATAATTTCTTATTGTTGATGGAAAAAAGTTCCAGTTTCACTGGCGTACTATTTCACTTATAATAAAATATTTTTTCCACGTCATTCACGTATTAGTCTGCCAGAGAAACTAGAACTGATTTTTAAAAAAATCAATATTAAGGAATTATTTACTTACAACAAGCTCCTTTATCTTACTGAAAAGTTTCTTGTAAGTTAGTTTCGTCTTATTTCATGTGTACTAAGATATTTGAACTGGAAACTCCACCAGAAATAATTGGTAGGCTTTTGAGTTTTTGCAGTGCAGTTAGTGTCAGGCCATCCTGTGAAACAACACACACAGCTTGTGTTCAGAGGAGTCAAGGTGATCAATTATTCACCTTGGAAGTGTGGGCATGAGGCCAGGAAGAACGCCTTCATTAATTCATGCATCAAGATGCACAGATGACTTAATAATTCATGAGCAACAACTTTTATAACTAAGGAACCTTTTATAACTAAAGAACACCGGTAAAGAGATTCTGCACTGCAAAATATGTATGTCTAGTTTCTAGTGGAAATGTCTTATTACATTTGAAATAAGACAAAAGCGTTGAACAGGTAACGTTTAAGAAAAATGTAACGGCTTGTTTCTGATGAAAAAGTTACTGCGCTGTTACCTAGCAACCTCAACCCAGCCCGTTACAGATTATTTCACTGATAATGTGGGAAAAATGTTAGAAATTAAATAATCAGTCAGGTGTATTTGTACTTTTTAAAAAATCAATATTAAGAAATTATTGACTTAAAACGCTTAAAGCTTGCAAAAAGTCACTTCTAAGATTTTGTGTTTTTGCAGTGAAGAACAAAATGTTAACATCCGTTTTTGTCGACTTTTTACTGCAAATGTTTTTGTACTCGTGAAATAAGACAAAACTAACTTACAGGTAAATCTTTAGGAGATTGGTTTCAGATTAAAAATAGTTCAACTTTAAAGGAAGATATTTTAGTGAAATAACCTGAAATAATCATTTATCTAAAACAAGCTGCTGAATTTGCTGAAAAGCAACTTGCAAGTTAGTTTTGTCTTATTTTACGTGTACTCACATATTTCCACTAGAAACTAGATAAAAACAACCTGCTTGTTTTTGCAGTGTGCACAGTTCCTTTCAAAAGGCAAATCCTCCGCAGTCAAATGCGTCAAAGTCGGCGTCTCCTTCGAAGTCGAAGGTGTTGAAATGCGGGGAGTCGACGTCCTGGCCGCAGGCGTGGAAGGAGCCGCCGGCGGGGAGGTCGGCGAAGGCCCCGGAGCCCGGCGCCACATCCGGGGCCCCGCTGGCCAGCGGCGAGGACGGGGAGCAGGAGCTGGGGGCGCAGGAGCTGAGGTAGCCCAACGCGGAGGAGGCCGCCGCCCCGCCCATCAGCAGACACACCGCCCGCACCGCCCGCGCGTCGCTGCTGTTGCCATGGCGAAGGCAGTCGGACACGCGGTGAGGCGGGGCGACGGAGTTGCTCCGCTGCGGCTGCCTCGGTCCGGCAGCTGCAAAGCACAAAACCACATCTGAATTCTAGAAATGAAATCTATAACTGCTTCTTAGGGAGGATTAGAGCCTTTATTTATTTATTTCTGCTAAGAAAAAAATAGATCAAATTTGAGCTCTCCAGCTGTTGTTTTGATATTTTTCTGTGTCTTTCAGACGGACCTGGCTGCCTGTCTCTGAACGAGCCTCCCCTCTCAGTGACGCGGCTCAGAGGCGGCGTTGCACCAGCAACCCTGGGTGACCCGGGCTCCTTATCGCTGGAAGAGTCCGGCAGCGGCTCTCTGTCTGTGATGCAGGGAGTGAGGCTTTGTTGTCTCTGAAGGGTCAAAGGTGACATCACACCCTAGAAATGAAAGCAAACAAACGCAGAAAAGTAGAGCAACTTGCAAACTGTGTTAAAGTGAAAAAGGATGAAATGAGATGGTTACTAATCAGTTCACATCTAATATTTATTATCCACTAACCAGCAAACGTGTTTCCTGCTCATCCTTTATGTTACGACTGGAAAACTCATGACAGCGTAAACATTTCATGCCAGCCTGTATCTCTAATTATTATTATTATTTTGTTTTAAATGACTGAAATGCTGCCAAACTTGATTTTATAACCTTTTTATGTTTTATCCAGTTTTTTTTTTTCCATGGCGACGCTTTTGTTTTTAAACAAGTTGCGCAATACATCGTTGCTAGGTAACCGCCAGTCACTCAACACATCGTTGCTAGGTAACAGCCAGTCACTCAACACATCGTTGCTAGGCAACAAAGAATGAGTGAATTATTTGATTAGTTTATTTTTGTATTATTTTGCATGACTTTATTCTGATATTATTATGACTCCATTCTTGTAGTTTTATATTTTTTATACTAATTACTTTCAAAATTTCCACATAACTTTATATTTTGGTCAGTCTTCTGACACAATTCTTAAATATTAAATGATTGATGATTCGATCAGTTAATTGAGTTTCCAAATACTTGGACGGCTACGTCTCATTTTTACTCAAGTAAAAAATACGTTGCTACTTTTAGTTCAGTGAAAGTTTTTGGCTTCTCTGCCCTCCTGTGTTTTCATTATTTTTTTGGATCTGCATCTTATAATCAGAGGCTCAAATCCGCCATAAAACAGATTTAATGAGGAAACAGGACAAATCAAACATTGCAGTGACTGACCTCTCTCACTTTCCTGATTAGCTTCAGCCAAAGACTGTGAAAGGTAAGAGAAGACGTGTTATTATCTCCGACACACCTCCAGGATGGAAAACATTCACAGAGGTGGATCTGTGTCAGTCTGACAAACACGTGCAATAAAAACTAAGTCTGATGGTCAGTGGGACAAAGGAGGAGAGAACATCAGTCTATCGATGTCCCTGCATGTGAAGATAAGGTCTGATAAAAAGTGGGACAAAGAACATCTGGCACCCACATGCAGTCGTCTGGGTTGTCCGACAGAAGCAGCAGGAACTTGTTCTGGGGCAGGATGAGGGCGAAGCAGCAGTCCCTTCTGCCCCCTGGGGGCAGCCTGGGCAGGTCCAGGATTTCCCGCCCCTCCGCGATCGACTCACAGTTGGACTGTAACGCCACCACCTGTTCAGGAGGAGACTCGGCGTCCCGGCACACCAGCAGGCTCCCCTCCATGGTGAGCACAAGGTATTTCTCCTTCCACTGCTTGAACATGAAGCCTCCTGCAGAGGAACGGGAGACAAACTGCTTCACCGCTAACATCTGAGACCCAAATCTCCAAAATATTTGACTGATTTTTCTAGAAAATTTCTTGGGTCACTCTAAACATTTCTGAGCATTTTCTAGCTAGAAAGGAGTCGAGATCTTTCTAGACATTTTCTGAGGCTAAATGTTTTTTTTATATATTTGTTGAAAATTTACTCCTTTTTTTCTATGACTTAAATCCATAAAAGGAAAAATATCAAATAAAAAATGAATGGAAATTACAGAAATTTTTGCCTTTTGACCAAAAATTGGACACATTTTTTTTTTTACAGAAAGTAAAAACGGGAGTTTAAGTAAAGAACATGCTGCTGAATTGTAGCACACATTTAAATCCATAAAAGAAAAATATACCAAACTAAAAGATGCTACAAAATAAAATGAATCTAACATTAATTTCTGAAATTTTATAGAATTTTTTTTTCCAAAATTGTCCACAATTTTCAACTTTTGAGATCTGAAAGTAAAGAAAATTCAAGCTTTTTAAACTCAGAGATTTCCACATTTAATCTCAAACTTTTGCTGGGAAATTTTATAGTTTTAAAACTCAGAAATATCAAAAGTAAAACATAAAATAGTAGCCCATTTTTTTTACTCTTCAAACTTAAATATTTCCAAGAATTTTTCTAGACATTTTTTTTTGTCAGAAATGTACTTTGACTTAAATCCATAAAAGAAAAATATCCATCCATCCAACTCTGTATCTGCAGAGATTTAGAAAAGAAAATGCTGCTGGATTTGTTAAGCACTTCAGCTGAAATATTTAAATAAACCAGCAGCCTCCTACATGAGAGTTAAATCGATTAAAGGAAAAATGCATCAAATAAAGCAAACAGAAACAGTCGGTACCATATTTCCGCAGGAATCCTCGGTGAACCCCCGCTGTGCTCATGTTTCTGCAGCAGAGACTGAAACGAAACGAGGCTGAAGCTGGAAAATAGGCCAAGAGGGAGAGAGGAGCAATAATCCGCACTATCTAGGCCTTCATCACCTAAACAGGGACAGCATGCCAGGCTGCAACAGCTGCACGAACTGCGTCACTTTTCTGTTCTCGCAGCGCACAACGTGCAAATGTAAGGCTGTAGTCTCACTACACGGACGGCGAGGATAGATTGGGATAGATAGATGAAAGCTGGACGGTGTCACGCCTCCTGGCCTCGGTTGGCCTCAGAACCAGAGGTTTGGATCACCTCCTGCTAAAGCAGATTAAAACAGGGATTATTATTCCCGCAGCTGGGCTGCGCGTCTGCTGCCCCCAAAACTGCGGATTGTTTTAAAACCTGAGTGCATCACTTGGCATGTCGGCTCTAAAGAGACATCCTGTTTCCCAGCAATCGATTAATCGTTGAATTGAGTTAAATGGCGCTAAAACTGCGTTACGTAAGCGGATGAGAGTCAGAGAGGCGCATTGATGCGTCAGTCCGACAAGAATCATGTTCACTCCTAATGGGTTGGAAGATAATTGCATTCAGACAGTCGGGGAAATGGAGAATAATGGCAATAAATAAAAGCAATGATGACCAAAGCGCTTCTGAATATGAGCACTGCAAAACCGGACAAGTTAAATGGAAACCAGTTGATTTAAAGGTTTATAACTAAAACTATGGGATATTTTATTTTAGATTCTAGAGATTCAATAGACTCATGTTAATTATGTTGTAATGAAAGGGCATATATATATATATATATATATATATATATATATATATATATATATATATATATATATATATATATATATATATATATATATATATATATTCATGTTCATGTTAAATGAAGTTCCTATTTAAACAACTAAATCTCTACTATGCACTGAAAAAAATAGAAACCAGGTGAACTGACTTTAAAAAAGATAACATTGAAATAAATACAGATTTTATTCAATTCTATGCCAATCTTAAAGTTTTTTATTTGTACATTATTTTATTCTGATTGCCATTTTGTCTCTCTTGCAGTTCCATTGTATGACCAGCAGAGGGCAGCAGAGCACGCTGAATCGGGGAATCTACTGTTAAACAACAACAAAGTATTTTTCTTCTGTTTGCTTCCAGAAAATCACCTGAATTTGATCCTGACAGAGCAGGACTTTAAATCTCACCAAGATTTTTTTGTCCAGTTTCTGGAGTAAATATCTTATTACGTTTGAAATAACTTACAAGTGACTTTTAATCGGCTTGGTTTAAATCAGTAAATTTTTAATATTGATTTTAAAAAGCTAATTTTCCATTGGCAGATTATTATCCTTATAATATGGGACAAAATGTCTTGTTAAAAGTGAAATAATCAACTTTTTCATGAATATTAACTCATTATTTACATAAAATAAGCTGTTTTACTTTTCTTTTTTTTTTTTGCCAAAAAGTTACTTGTAAGTTAGTTTTGTCTTAATTTCAGTGAATGAAAATATTTCCACTAGAAACTAAACCAAAAATACTCAATGAGATTTTGTGTTTTTTCAGTGTAGGCTTGGTTCGTGGATATTTTAAGACACTTGGTTATTTCCTTTACTGCAAAAACACACATTTTATCAAGTGTTTTTGGTCTAGTTTCTAGTGGAAATATCTAATTACACTTTAAATAAGACAAAAAGTAACTTTTCAGCAAGATGTCGGAGCTTGTTTTAAGTCAATAATTCCTTAATATTGATTTTAAAAAAAGTTCAACTTTAACTGGGAGATATTTTCATTTATATACATTTTATCCAGTTATACTTCCACTTTTTTTAAAATCAATATTCATGAGTTATTTACTTAAAACAAGCTCCGACATCTTGCTGAAAAGTTGCTTGTAAGTTAGTTTTGTCTTATGAACCAAAACTATTTGGTGAGATTTTGTGTTTTTGCAGTGTGCTTATGTGATGGACCCTTCAGGTTGCAGACAGGTGAGCTGGATTCTGGTGATTCTGATGCCCATCCCCCCCTCTCCAAAGCCAGACATCCACTGCAGCCGCGTTCAGCTTCACAGTTTGTGTTTCTGAGTGGAGGAGCCCCTCCGCGACCCTTCCCCCCGCCCCGGCTCCTATCAGAAACCACTGCTCCGGCTCCTCATGAAAGGAGGAAAATATACAATGGGGTCTTTCTCAGTCCCTCTGTGTTTCCATTAAAGACCCTGGGAACACAACACAGCCCACAGAGACACTCTTAAAGGGCCAGCGCATCTGAGATCCCAGCATCTCCCCATTGTCTCCATGGGACTGAAATCAGCAGCCACAACGTAACAAAAGGTTTTATAAAAAACAAACTACAGCACAAATGAAGAAATGAGTCTGGGACAGATGTGTTGATTTTTTAACTTGTGATGAGGCACACTGCAAAAACACAGAATCTTACCCAGTATTTTTGCTCTAGTTTCTAATTCACTGAAAACAAAACTAACTTACAAGTAACTTCAGAAACATTCAGGAGCTTGTTTTAAGTCAATAACTCCCGAATGTTGATGAAAATATTAATGATTTTGTTTATAATTGAAATAATCTCCCAGTGTAACTTGAACTGGGTTATTATTAAGAAACTATTGACTGAAAACAAGCCCCTATTTCTTACTGAAACGTTACTCGTAAGTTAGTTTTCTTTTTTCAAGTGTTTTAAGAAATGTGCACCAGGAGCTAAACTACAAATATTTGGCAAGATTGTTTTGTTTTTGCAGTGTAAGGAAAACTGTGTAAAGAAATGAAACAACTAAATAAATCAAATCAAATACAAAAACACACGTAAAAACAAACATGCAAACTGAATCCAGACTCAGTTCAGTTGTCAATAAATTTGCTGAATGTTTTTTTTTTTTTTTATGTGTAATCATATAATCATGAATTAAAAGCAAAGAAGAAAAAAAATCTTATCTGATCTTAGGAAATGTTTTGAGTTTATTAGCAAAATATTGTCAAAATCAATCGGTTTTAGTGGTGCTAACTCCCACCAGCAGGGGGCAGTATTTCTTCTACTGCCGCCCCAGTTTTACTAGTTGTTTAGTTATTATTTATAATCAATAAGTGAGCAACAAAAAGTCACAAACAACACAGTAATTGGTAATCCTCTGTTCTCCATGAGAGTGGGGACAAATTATTGCAAAAATATCACAAAATACTTCAATAAAATTAGGAATTTACTGCAAAAACACAAAATCGTACCAAGTATTTTTGATATAGTTTCTATTACAAATGTCTTTGATCATTTGAAATAAAATGCAACTAATTTACAGAACTTTTCAGAAAGATATATGAGCTTGTTTTCAGTAAATAATTCTTAATATTGATTAAAATATAACAAAATGTTATAAGTGAAATAATCTGAAAGTGAAACTGATCATTTTTCATGAATATTAAGAAATTATTAACTTAAAACAAGTTCCTATATATTGCTGAAAATGTTACTTGTAAGTTAGGTTTGTCTTATTTAAAGTTTAAATAAAACTAGACCAGAAATACTTGGAAAAGTTTAATGTTTTTTTCTGTTTTATTATTGAAAAATATCTTAAAAAATCACAAAACAACTGTGAAATTTTGGAAACACTGGTTTTCGGTGGGTTTAAATAAAAGTTGGCCCCCAAATGAAATTAGCTTCGGGCCTCACATACGTTTGGACCGGCCCTGCTTGGAATATCTGGACCGGAATATCAGCTGATATGACTTTTTTATTCACATTAAATGAAACTTTTTTATTCAAAACATCTGATTTAACTAATGAAGAATCAAAATAAATATATTTTTTCATCCTGACAGTCTTTGGATGTTTTGTTTAATTAATAATCACATGTATTATCAATATTATTGTAATTTAGAAAGTATTTTAACTGTATTATTTTTGTTGTATTTAAAAAATAAATATTTTTACCTTTTTTTAATTTACATTTATTTAAAAAAAAGACTTTCCATTTTTAGGTAGTTCAAAATTACATAAATTATTTATCTGTAAACTTTTCCCTTGTCCTTCAAGCTCCACATCAATCCAGTGACTTTAACTCCATCTACTTTTAATTCATTTCCTAAACTTGGCTAAAGATCCAGATTGACTAAATTTAGTTGTTTTTCCAATTTACACCTAGAAAACCTGCTAAAATTATTTTGAGTTGTTTTATCTTGAAGTTTTCCAACAAATTTAATCCTCGGTTTATTGTTGACGAGGTGCAAGAACATTTTTCTGACCTCCAAGTCCCTTTGCATTAAGTTTTGCTCCCCTGATCCAGTGTTTCAAGCCTCTCAGGATCCGTGCGTAATTAAAAGAAGAAAGGAAAAGGACAATCAGCATGCTGCAGGGCTTCTCACCCTCCTGGAAAAGAGGAGGAGGAACAACAGGAGGAGGGAGGAGAGACTTTGAGTTGAGGAATTTCAATCCTGTTTGTATGGGAGAGGGGGATAAAGAAAGTCAGAGGGGGGAATGTCTGAAGCAGGCTGGTTTAAAAATACTCCCTCTGGAGCCAGAAATAGACTTTGTACAGCCTAATCTCGGCGCAACGGCAGCGCATCGCGCTTTAACGGTGGACGAACTGCAGGTTTGTTGACCACAAAGAGAGAAAAGGAACAACCGGAGCAGAAAGTTTGTCATCTTTGAAAAGGGGGAAACGAAACGGCTGAATCTGCGTCGCCTTCCCAGCTGCGGATCAAAACATTATCAGCGTCTCCATCCGAACCGGAGCGAGACGCAGCGGAGATGCTGTGATGCAGATCCGCTCCAGGTTGGCTGTTTCCCCGCCCGGTGCTCCAGGTGATCCGCCGGGAGGAACCATGGCGCGCTGGAGGTGCTGCTTCCTCATCCTCGGCGTCGTTTTTGCGCCTGTCTCTGGCGCACAGCTGTCAGGTAAATGCGGATTAATTTGCGCCTCTTATCAGTGGGACTGTTTAAGTAGTGGGCAATTTTCCCCGTGAGATTTCTTTTGATGTTCACTCATTAAAGTAATTTGCTTTGAGGGCGCAGCGCAGCCGCAACATCTGGATATCATAAAGTGCTCTAAAGAAAAAAATCAACTTGGTAATGTACATTTATTGTTGTTGTTGTTGCAGTCTTGCAGCTTAATTGATCACCCAAACTATAAAACACGTCCTCCAATCAGAATGAAGTTGAAAAAACAACTTTCAGTGGAAAAGTTTTTCTGTGATGCATCTCAGTGGAAACGTTGCTGTGATTCGTCAGGATCAGATTTACTCTATTAACAGAAAACTACTTCAGCGTGAAATTAGCCTGGGAAATGTTTTCAATGCAATCTTTTTTTTTAGCTTATTTATTTGAAAAATGATTTTCATTTATTTTAAATTGTTTTCTCAGTCAATCTTGTGTTGCTTATACATTGTAATAGATAGACAACTGGTCCTGGTACTTTTTGCCTCCAGCAGTAACAACCTTTGTCCTCAAATGAAGAAAACCTAAAACAGTCGGGAACATTTCCAGGAGGGGTAGTTTACCAAAGTTACTCCAGAAGAGCGTGAACGCCTCATCCAGGCTGGCCAGGCGAGCTTTCTCCCGCTGGATTTCTGCCGGGCCAATCAGCGAACAGAAGACGGAGTCGTGAACGATGACGTCAATTTTCTGCGCTGTTTCAGAATTGTAGTCCGCTTGTAGTTTTAGCGATGGCGGCAAAGAACGTGAACGAACCCGTTCAGTCCATGTGAGTCAACTTCTTCCAGATATTGGAATAACATTAGCGGCCGCCTCGTTTGGCTCGGTACTTCTCTCTTCGCGGTGGAGGGTTGTTGTTCACAGCGCAGACCACTTCCGGTAAGCTTCATGGCGTCGAACAGGCGCTTTAGATACGTCACGGCCGACCGTTAGCGAACTGAAGAAGGCTTCTCCTTCCAGTTGTCGTTTTCTGCCGAAAACACAAGGGTTTGTGTCACATTTACCGACTATTATCTTGGCCATCCCCAAACTCTTTGGGGTTTTAAAGTGATGTGGAAGCCAAATGGGAACTTTTTGTACCGTTACATTCATGCGCTATCACTGCTGTAGGAGCCAAAGCGCCGTAATGGCGGCTAATCATGGTGGTGGTGTGATGACCTTGACCTGCTTTGCTTCTTGTTATAACAGATGGAACTATGGACACTGGATATTTTACAGCTATTTATCAGGACGGTGATCCAAAGTACTCTAGTAAATACACCTTTAATTGAATGAAAGAGGGTTTTTACAAGGGCCGAGTCGAAATCTGGGCTTAAATCTAATTGAGATGCTGTGGCAAAACTTCCGAATTAAATCGATTATGAAAACAAAAGTGGACTAAAAGTCTTTAACTGAGATGTGCAAGAGTGCTCACCAGTGATGAGGACTCAGGGGAAAGAAGCTTTTTCACACCGAGTCAATCTGGTTAACAAATGTTTTAATGAATGATATAATCTTTTTGCAAGTTGATGTTAAAGCACAATAATAAATAACACACAAAATAAAACTACGGAGTAAAAAAGTGTACCAAACAACCTTGTGATCTCATGTTTTTCTGAAACTTTCTTATGTATTTATGTGAGATTTAGCAACTCAGTTCACTTCAATTCAAAATGCTTTGTTATTAATATGCATGGCACATTACAATATGATATTCTACTAATCATTGGACTCTGATTGTCCCATCTGATTGGGTTATTGCACACTTATTGTAATATTTACTGCAATTAAATAGTGCTATTCTAGTTTGAATGCAAAAAATTACTAGATAATATTGTGAACACTTATCAGCCTTCAAATCCTGCTGATTTACCGGCTTGTTGTTGTTCTTAAAGTCCTGTTTTCCAGCTGAGAATCCTTATTTTAAAATTAAACCCATGTGGGAACCTAAAGAGATGTTCCATCAAAAAAGGTATTTAAGTCTAGATAAAGTGGAAACTTTAGTGAAGCAACACAATCAGCCAAGCAGAAGAGAAAAAATGTTTACGTTGTTTCATATTAGATATGCGAGGAATATAGTTTGTCTCTTCAGAAAGCTGAAGAGTGTGACGGACGAGTTGGAGCTGCAGATACACTGAAACTGTTAACGACACTCAAATCCGAACCAGCGAAGCAGGAAACGAACCTCGCTTGGCACTTGTTAAACACTTGTTTAACTCGGATAACAACAGAATTGAAACTCAGAGAAACCAGTTAAATGTGTTTCAGGAGGAATCTGCTGTGAGGGACAGAACTGTGTAACAGACGGCTAATAAAGGAATCTATTATTCTATTGATTATTTAAACGATTAATCGATCAGTGGGGTAAAAAATGTCATTCTAAACACTTAATCTTAAAGTCCTGTTTTTATACATTACTATAAATACATTAAAGGAAATAAATTATTTTTTAAAATAAAGAAAATTAACATTTTATTGCCTAAAATGCAATCATAAAGCATTCCTTCAGTGAATGTTAGATCATTTGTTGCATAGTATGCATCTGCAGCAAACAAATAAGCAATCCAGTGCAGGTTTGATCTATTGATTATATTTTGAATAATAATTGATGCTTCACTTAGAGAATTTAAACCAGGTGAAGCCAAAACCATGAAACTGAATACAACATATTTACAAACAGACATTTTCTATTATATATTTATGCAAAATGTAGATTTTTTTGCACAAATTTGGCTTATTTGCTGCTCTGAATATGTTGTTCTTTTAGAAAATTGTCTTTTTATTTGTCCAGTTCACAGTCCAGTTAGCAACTAATCAACAACTAAATCATTTGACAATTATTTCAATTATGGATTAATCTGATTAATCATTTAATCACTGCTTAAAATTAGCTTATTTTTTTAATTCTTAGAGTCTTAGAAGTTTGGGAATGATTTGAGAAGTGGGGACGGGCCGCTCAGAGGTGTGAATGTTTGCCACATGACTCAACTCCGCTGAGTCTGAGTCAGGCCCTGGAAATGATGGATGGGCCGAAGGGGCAACAGCACAAGAGAAAGAGTTTGGACCAAAAGGAAGGCGCCGGATCCAAAAGCAATGAATCCAAAGAATGGCATGGAAAGGGCAAAGGCGCAGCTCTGAAACAGAGGGGAGGAATCACGCTGAAAAAGTCAGAAACGGGGAGGGAATGCGAGGAGGATAACAGCGCAACCTTTGTGAGGTATTTTTGGTATGTGCACATTCAGATTCTGTAGCATGGATGCAACTCGGAAGGGTTCAGACCGTAAGAAAAGGGGGACAAAAGCGAGGGGACGGATTAGCTACAAATGAATTACTTGAGAAAGACACACACACACAGAGTTTGTCCACTGGCTGGCTCTCTGGATATCTGCATTCTCATAAAAGGGTTACAAGCTTCCCTGAAAGCAGCCAAAGGATACAGTGAAGCTCAACCAAGCATGGAAATAAAAGGAAAGAAGGACTTTTGATGCAAAAGCCACAAAGAGACAGAAACAACAAAGAAGAGCAGCTTCAAAATCCCAATTTGTTATGCAGAAAGTAAACAGTGCTGACTGTGGAATCTGCAGTTAACAGGAGAAGTATTCCAGCTCAACCCTCTGGGATCAGAGGTCAAAGGTCGGCCCCTGACTCAGATTTAGATGACTGTTTGACAAGCTTGGGAAAATCTGTGGTGGGAGATAAATAGCAACAATAAAAGTGAGAGAACAGAAGCACAGTTTGCATGCGTTGCTTAAATGATGCAGTCTACTCTCCCTTTAATTGCAAGGGTGCCCAAACTGCGACTCGAGGGCCATTTGTGGCCCCTGGACTGATTGTGTTTGGGCCCTAACTTCAGTTCAAGAATGGTAGAAATTACAGGCATGGTTTATTGCTTTTCTCTTTTCTGTCTTTCTACCAAAAACTGGATGATAAAAATCTTCAGACTAGTTTTTTTGTCTCGGCTCGCTCTAATTTAAGGACTATTTTGTTGACAAAAACTTTATAATTAATGTAATTTTAGTTTATGTTGTTTTGTTTGTCTGTTTAAATTGTTTAAATTATAATCTACCTATTAGATCTTAAAGTTGATTAATATTTGAGAATGTGTTCTTGCATTATTACCATTTTATGACTTGGTCTGAAAACAATTATATTATCGTTTATTGCTATAAATGCTCGGACAATTTACCATGCAGCTAAAGTTGTTATCATGACAATGTTGCAGTTTTTATTTATTCCTCGCCTTCCATAATCGCTCACTACTTTGAATTGGTCTTTTAAATAAATGTCCAATAAAACACATTGAAGTTTGTGGTTTTAAAGTAAGGAAACGTGAAACGTCTTCTGCTGTATTTGTCACAATCAAAACAGAAGACTTATTTTTAGATGAGTTTTAAGTTCTTGGCTCTCAAAATAATTCGTCCTTTTCTTCTTCCTCATCTCTCAAACAAAGATCTGAAGTTTGAAAAGAGTCCCAGCACCGTCATCTCGTCCCTGGGCAAACCGGTCAGGATGCACTGCGAGCTGAAGGGAACCGGAGACGAGAACGCGGTCCCACCCGATCTGGTCTGGCTCAAAGACGGCGCTCCTCTTCAGTTCGAAGACACGGACCAGTCCCAGACCATCACCGACAACACCTGGACAGTCACGAGCACGCTCAAGTACGGAGCAGCTCTATTTTTTAAACTTTCTTAGCGCAACACTGCTTGTTTCTCCCGTTTGATCAGTTTTTACCGGTTTCTTCCGGACCTTCACCATCATTTCTATCCTCCCTGCAGAATTGAGAAGGTCCAGCTGTCGGACATGGGCCCCTACAGGTGTGCCGTCGAGTCCGAAGGCAACCAGACTCTGTCCAACGTCGGGCGCATTCAGCTGGAAGGTGAGCGTCCAAACCTCTGGGATGTGTTTGTGTTTTCACTGTGAAAGGAAAACTGATTCAGCAACTTCCTTCTCAGGCCTTCCTCATTTCTCTGTGGAGCCTCAACCCATGTCTGTTGTGGCCAATGAGTCCTTGAGTCTGAGATGTGTGGCTCACGGACCTCCAGATCCGGTCAAAGTCATCTGGCTGCGTGATGGAGCCGAAATGAACTCCCTGAATGACCCGGTGGCGCTGTCGCCTTCAACACTCAACCTCACAGGTAAACTTTATTCCTGAAAACTGCATGTAATATTATCATGAGTTGGTGACGGTGGAAGCTGTGGACTCAGGTTGATGTGACTGAAGATGGATGCTCCAAGACAATCTGATGAAGAGTATGGTCAAGATTGTCCCTAATTTTCTTGATCCTATGAAGAATCCTTCTCTACATGTTCATCTCCAGAGGTTCCATAGTCGTCCCCAGAACAGAACCAGCATTCTTTATCAGGCTGTTCAGCGTTTTTAGGTCCCTGGCTCTATTGTTGCTCCCCCAACAGATGATGCTCTCAACAACAGACTTGTAGAAGATCTAAAGCATCTTGGTGCAAACTTTGAAGGACCTTCCCTTCTTTCAGAAGACCAGTCTGCTTTGTCCCTACTTATAGATGCTTCATTGTTGTGTCTCCAGTCTGGTCTGTTGTTCTGATGAACACCGAGGTGTTTATATCCCTTAACCACCTCCATTTCTTCTCCCATGATGTAAACAGGTTTGATCTAATCGCTCTACTTTTCTATCTTTACTTTTTTTTGTACATTTATGCTGTTATGGCCTTTAAAGTACGGTGTTCCCCAAGGCTCAATTTTAGGTCCCAATTTGTTCATCTTATATTTATTACCTCTTGGTCAGGTTTTCCATACATTTAACGTTTCCTTTCATTGCTTTGCGGATGACGTCCAGATTTATATGCCCCTTAAACTTCAAAATGGTAAAAATGAATCTCTTCAGCTATTGATAGATTGTTTAGCTGAAGTCAAATCTTGGATGGAACAAAAGTTTCTTCACCTCAATCAAAGTAAAACTCAAGTTATATTCTTCACACTCCAAATTCAGATGTGATTCTTGGTTCTTTAGCCCGGTTTTGTCAGACCTCTGCTAGGAATCTTGGTTTTACTTTTGATAGCTGTTTAAAGCTAGATAAACAAGTTCGCTCTGTCGTTAAGTCAAGTTTTTATCACCTGCTGATTTTAGCAAAAGTTTAATCCTATTTTTGTCTTAAGGACTTTGAAGGACTTATCCATGCCTTCATTACAACTCGTTTGGATTATTGCAATTCTCTAAATAGTGGCATGGATAAACCACAGATGCAACGAGTTCAAATGATCCAGAAGGCTTCTTACAGGAACCAGGAAGCACGACCATATAAGGCCCATACTGGCCTGCTTACACTGGCTGTCCGTCTCTTATCGAATAGATTTTAACATTCTTTTATTAACTTATTAAGTGAATAATAAGTTAATCAACTGAAGATGGATGCTCCAAGACAATCTGATGAAGAGTATGGTCAAGATTGTCCCTAATTGAGTTAATAAAAGCTCAACCTTATCTTTGGGACCGTTTAAAATTTCAGTCTTTGTCCAGAACCACACGGTCAAACAATCAGCTATTACCGACAGTTCCTCGGACCCGACTAAAGAGGAAAGGAGATCGGACTTTTTGTTTCTCCTATTCTATGGAGCAATTTACCTTTCCAGATTAGATCTGCCCCACAGACTGGATCATTTTAAATGCTTCTTGAAACTCATTTTTATTCTTTGGCATTTATTTGTAGTGTTTGATACTCTTTTTATCAATTTGTGTTGTTGATGTTCTTGTACAGCAATTTGATGCAGTTTTACACCTGTTTGTAAAGTGCTATATAAATACATTTGACATTGACATTGAGATCAACTTTACTTTGAGATGAGCCAGGTCACCACATGACACAAACAAACAGAAATGCTTCCACTGCATTTCATTCAGCCGAGGGCAGCCATGACGCAGTTTGAGGTTGAGGTTTGTGAAATGTTTTTTTTTTTTTTTTTTTTTTTTTTTTGAGGGAGAAAATTGGACATTTTTTAGCAGTGGGACGGGGATTGTGGCATGATGGCTGCTCATTGTTTTCTTCTTTAAAGTGTAAATAGAAAACCTTTTTAATATGTTTTCACATTACATTTGGAGAAAATATGGAAGTTACCCTGTATTTTGGGGGAGCAGAAACAAAAACAGGAGTTGGAATAAACAATCGTATTATCAGACAGATTTTTATGACCTGAGCCGAACATTATGCGTCAAAATTTCCAGAAAGTTCTTTAAAAGCTTAAACAGGTCCAGCAAATAAATAATTCACTGAGACACAAAAAATTACAAAATCAAAGTATTTTTGTTTAGTTTCTATTGAAAGTATCTTAGTAAATTTGACATAAGACAAAAGTAACTTTTCTGCAAGATATAGGAGTAGGTAATTCCTAAACATAAAAAAGTATTAGCTTCACTGGCAGATTATTCTACTTAAAACATGGGAAAATCTGTTGTCATACGTGAAATGATCTGCCACTGGAACTATTACTTTGTTGTTACATTGCAAAGCCAGCCTGTTACCTATAAAAATGAAGGAATTATTCACTTAAAAGAACCGTCTACTTGCTGAAAAGTTATTTGTGAGTTAGTTTTGTCTTATTTCAAGTATAACAAGACATTTCTAGTAGAAACTGACCCGAAATGCTTTTGTTTTTGTAGTCTGATTGATCTTATGAAGCTGTTGAGTGGCTCTGATTGAAACCAGAGTACAGTAAGGAAGTAAAGAAACGGATGTTACTAAGAAAAAGCGATGTAAAAAGGGAGGAGAAGAAAGACAGCAGCTCACAGCTGTCTGGCAATCAGCAGCGAAGTGTCAGGAAAGGCTGAGTCAGAGGGGATAGAGGAGAAAAACCACTGGCTCTTAATTTGAGAGAATCTACTGAGTCATTGCAGTGGGCTTCCTGCTGTTTACCAGGACCCATTTGACGGTAACCTCCACTCACAGGTCTGGAATGGGCAGCTGTGCTTGTAGACCACAGATTTAATCGAGTTAAATACAAAGGTTATTCAAGAAGAATAACGTTTGTATTAACTTCATGCCATTTGAGAGCAAATGGCATGAAGAAGTCATTTACAAATTAATAGTGACTCATGCTTATTCATGCTGTTTCCTCTCTTTTCCTTTTCATAAAAGGACCTATTGTGAATTTTTTTTTTATTATTGTTTTTGTACTTAAGTTTGGGTCTCAACTTCCAAAAATATATCATGCGCTTGGAAAAAAATAAAATAAATAAAGCTCAGCCATATTTTGGCAGTAACTTAATGATTTTTGGTGTCTGGGAAACGAGGCGTTTCAAAAACCTCCAGAGAGTAACGTCACAAATCAGCAGGCGCTGCCCATATAGCAACCCCAGAAGCCCAGGCCGTTATCTAGCAACTCAAGCTGAGTTCCAGCAGGTTTGGTCAGGTGGTTTTACTGCTGTGTGCGCCGTACAAGCGCTGCTGAAAAAGTGTTTTGTTGTTAGTTTACCATCCAGAAACCACTTCCTGCATTCTTGTTGGTTGTGCAGGAGACCCTACTTATGCTTTTCAAAGATGTACAGTTGTATAATTGTGCATCTGTTTGTAGTCACTTTCATGTGTGAGTGTAGTCATTGAGGCAGGGGGTGTGACCAGCAGCAGGTTATTTGGATTTGAAGTGACAGAGACCTTCACTAACTTGTTGAAGAAATCATAATAGATCACCTTTTAAAGCAACTCTGAACCTTTTGATGAGAAACGCCAAGTTTTTACACTAAAAACACAATTAACTTTCATACTTTGAATTAAGCTGCTGAATTGTTAGAAATAACTAACAATTCAAAACTACCAAACTACCGTAGACTGGTAGTTTGGTCTTTGAAGTTGGATTACGTGGGATAATTAGGAGAAATCAGTGCCGTACTTTAAGTAGAAATTGGTAACAGTGGCTTCAGTTTTCAGATTCAGGGAAGAATCGTCATGAGGGAGTCATGGTAAACGCTACAATAATTCAACCATAAACCTTTTTTAGCACTTCAAATGAAAACTATTAGTTGTTTTCAAACCTTTCCACTTTTGTATGGGGGAAGTTGTTTTGTCACAATTTTATCGCCAACACAACATTCATGTTGCCACACCAGAAATATGTCAGGAACATGACAGTTACTGATGACTGGACCCGTCATTTGTAATGTTTTGATTGCATCATAGTAATCTTTCATAGTAAATAATTGTTGATCTTTCATTTTAAGAAGTGTATCCTACTTTATTTTTGCACTCTGTGCCCATTTTTACAGTGAAGTCAACTAAATAAAAGCAATATTAGGTTACAAACTGTCTGTTTTTTGGCAGGTTTTACAGGAATTGACGCACGCAAAGGTTGTTTTGACGTCTGTCATGGAGGAGTTGGCCTCTTCCTGAACCTCTTAACTGACACTCATCTTGTCAAGATAGCGCTAAATCTTAAATGTACACCAGATATGTAAAAGAAAAAGGTGCTTACTAGTTGTCAACACTAAGACAATAGATGAGGTCAAGAAAAAGTCTTAAGAAAAAAAATTGTGAGGGGGAGGGACGTAGTTCAGTTGAGCTAGTTTTACTTTGACAATCTTATGTAGATATGATGTAGAATTATGTATCTTTTGGTTATCAATAATTGCAAAATTAACATCAAATATGGAAACATAAACCTGTGACTGACTGAATGTTCCTGTCTTTGAGTGGGAAATGTTTGAGTGTTGAATCTCGATACATTTAGTGGTGTTGTTGCCAGTTTCTATGTCAGTCGTTCATCTTTTTCGCCCTTCAGCGTTGTGTACATGCGCTTTCTGGATGAAAACACAGAAACTTAAGCCAGTCACCAAACTGATTGATTGCGGTCTTTTTAGTAAACTTTTGGTTGTAGATACTAAAAAGTGGTTTTCTTCAACATGAAGCATGGTAGCATAATAGAGGCCTCTTAGCTTAATGACCCCATCCCAGCGGAGTTGATCAACAAGGTGATCACAGTCAACAAGATCCGGATTTCTTGTCGTGACAAATGTGACATTTTCAGCTGGGAAGCGAATTATTCTGCGGTTTGCTGAAGGGGAAGGAAAGAAATATGTGGCGCAATCAAGGGCAGCCTGATGAGCTGTCGCTTGGCCAGCGCAGCGTCAGTATCGCCTCCCTGTTCTTCCTCGCTAACAACCCCTCACTTCAGGCGGCGCGGATCATACACTCCTGTTCTTTTTCCGGCTCCACACAATAGAGGCTTGGTGCCGCCTGCGCTGGACAACGTGATTCTGTGCGAGCCTCAGTTTGTGGCCGGCTGTGGATGTTGGGCTGTTAGATAACGGTGATGAAACTTGACTGCCACATGCTTGAATGTGTGTGTGTGTTGGCCTGTTTTTGTGTTATGTCGGGTGTGTGAGCCCACTGTGAGTCAGTGTGTGAGAGGATTCATTCTCTGTTGGGAGTCAGAATGTGTCATGCTCTTGTCCCCTTCAGAGGAGCCCCAGGCCTGCAAGGGCTGCAGTCTTTCACCTAGACCCCAACGCCACCCCACTCTTTGTTCACATAACTCCACTCCAGAACGCAACATTCTTGCAGTAACAGCAAGTTCAGAACCAAAAACATGCAGCTTTCTATTTTATTTCTTTATGATAGTTAAGCTTAAGATTTTGGATCTCATGAACAGTTTAATTTAGACATTGACAAAATTGTAAAGAAATACTTTGTTACTGTAATTAAGTAGATTTTTCAGGTATTTTTTAAAACAGCTAGGTTTAGAATTTATGTAAAAAAAAAAAAAATCTAGTTAAGTTGGTGTTTAGGGCATTAAATGTCTATCATTTTGTGTGTTTACTGTTTTGCCAGACAAGCCTCCCATAATGTTGACTTCTTTCATTTTCACCCTTTGATTACTGTTCAGCCTGAGCGATGTCCTCTAATTAACTCCTCTGTTTGAAACGCTGGGTATTATTCCTGAACTGGTTCTGACTGCGATATATTCTGCAGACTTTAAAATGCTCATCTCTATGCAAAATGTGCAAGTGCAGACAAAAACATGGAGGTTTTATGGCTGAATGTCTTAGAAATAGTCTTACTGAAGGTTATTTTGAATATAGATGCACAAATTGCTTCAAAAGACTTTAAAATCCAGACTTCTTTGTCTTTCATGGATTTGCATTTTTAGTTTTAATTTCTTTAATAGTAATAGACAAAACAATATGTAATCCAAACTGTACTTTCACATAACTGACATTTTACTTTCCAAAACTTAAATGTTACTTTATTCTGTCTAGATCTAAACCTATCGCAATAACAAATTTTGCTTGAGTATAAATTGTTTGAGCAATTTTCGCAATAAATGATATTGTTCTCCTAAGACCATTTTCAATTGATAATGGCCTAATTATGCAAGTTTGCTCTCTCAAAGACTGATAAACTTTTGTAAAGTGCATGCAGAAATACAAAATCTTAATGGTCTAGTTTCTAGTGCAAATATCTTAGTACACTTGAAATAAAAAAAACAACTTACAAGTGGCTGTTCACCAAGATAAAAAGACTTGTTTTAAGTAAATAATTCCTTAATATTGGTGAAAAAGTTCTAGTTCCACTGGCAGACCTTTTCACTTATTATAAATAAAATAATCTGCTAATTGAGCTAGAACTTTTTCCATCAATGTTAAGGTATTACTCACTTAAAACCAGCTGCTATTTATTGCTGAAAAGTTACTTTTTAGTTATTTTTGCTTTATTTCAAGTGTACTAAGACATGTGCACTAGAAACTAGACCAAAAATACTTGATGATTGTTTGTGTTTTTGCAGTGCATTTTTTGAGAGATGGAGAAAGATTTCACATGGAACGAAAAAGCTTCTTTGTTAATGTCCTGAAAACTAGCGTTATAATCAGGAGACCGTGGAAATGGCTTTCCTCCCACTTTTCTCGAGTTAGCGTGAACTTTCTCACGTTGATGCCGCTTCCTGTTCCCACCGCTGAGCCAGGGGTTTCGGTTTGAACTGACTGACATCGTTTGACTTTGTTTCCATCCAGGTCTGAACAGAACCAGCACTTTCTCCTGTGAAGCTTATAACCGGAAGGGTGTGACGACTTCCCGGTCTGGAACCATCACCGGTAATCGTCCTTTAAAAAGTCTTTGCTGAATTCGCTGCTGCAGGAGTTTTGTTTACTTTCTTGTTTGGGTGTTTCTTTTCTCTCTTCAGTGTTGCCATCCCAACCTTATAATGTCAAAGCTGTAGAGATCAATCAGACCACCGTTCGTTTGTCCTGGCTGCCTGGTTTTGGAGGAATCTACCCGATAACACGCTGCTCTGTTCAGGTGAGACGGAGTCCGATAAGTGGGAAAACAACATCCAACCCGAAAGTCTCCAACGGTTTGACTTGGATGTTAAATATTGTCTTCCTCTTTTTGTATTTGCAGAATTGATCATAGACATTATTTGTCAAAAGGCAACTCAACTACTCAGTAACTGATCAAAACACCAGTTATTTAATATTAAAAAGCTTGTTCTAAGTCTATAATTTCTTCATATTGATTTAAAAATGTTAGATTATTCCTCTCGGACCTTGGGAATAATTTTGCTATAAGCGAAATAATCTACTTTTTCATTAATATTTAGGAATCATTTGCTTAAAACCAGCTCCTCCATCTTGTGAGCTTATTATAACTTAATCGGACGCAGAGACAGATATTTATTGATATTTTATCAGTTTGGCTTTTATTCATACAGTCTGGCGCTAAATTGAAAATGCGTTTGGCTGTTAGAAGTGAAGTAATCTGCCAGAGGAACTACAACCTTTTTTTTTTATAAAGGTAAAGGAATTAATGACTGAAAAAAACCTCATATTTATTTCTGAATAGTTTATTGTAAGTCAGTTTTGTTTTATTTAAACTGTTCTAGGGTATTTGCAATATTTATTTTTGCTGTGTAACTGAGTGGATGTAAGGAGTTACTGCCCAACTCTGTCCAAATTTCTGCAACCCTAATTTTAAAGAAAAGGATGAATCCTTTCTTTAGGTTGCCTCGCTCATCCTGTTCCCCTCCCTGCTGTCTTCATGCGTGGATCAGGTTTCGCTCTGGGAAAGTGGCCTCCTGAACTAATCTCATGTAGCACCACTCCCTCTCCTTGTGTCTGGTTGCCACCATCCAGCTCCGCGTTTCTTGTAGCTGAACGGAGAAAAGTTTTCCTCCTGAAAAAAAAAAGAGAGAGAGAAGTCGAGCTGCGCAGCACCACCCCTAAACGTCTGGTTCTAATAAAGCTGCCCCCCTCCTCTTCACGGGGGAACAAGACAAGGGGCCAGCCTCAGCAAAGTGGGGCAAAAATCTGAGTTTAACAGTTTATTGTGTAGAGAGGAGTAACATGAAAAAGGCTGCGATGTTGAGCAGAAAGGCTTTACTGTGTTTCACATGAAAGGCAGCAGGAAGAAGAGAGAGTGAAAGGAAACAGGAAAAACCATGACAGCAGGTATTGTGGTTCTGAGTCATTCAGGGATGAGTCAGAGCAGAGCCATAGCAGTACATGAAACACTTGTTTTACAACTCAGAGCGCTGATTCACACCATTGTTTTTTTCATCTGCTCGCCTGAATCATTCAGACTTCTTCCTGAGTTTTCTGCTCATGCCATGAGATACATAATTCTACATCATATCTACATAAGATTGTCAAAGTAAAACTAGCTCAACTGAACTACGTCCCTCCCCCTCACAATTTTTTTTCTTAAAACTTTTTCTTGACCTCATCTAGTTGTCTTAGTGTTTGACAACTAGTAAGCACCTTTTTCTTTTACATATCTGGTGTACATTTAAGATTTAGCGCTATCTTGACAAGATGAGTGTCAGTAAGAGGTTCAGGAAGAGGCCAACTCCTCCATGACAGACGTCAAAACAACCTTTGCGTGCGTCAATTCCTGTAAAACCTGCCAAAAAACAGACAGTTTGTAACCTAATATTGCTTTTATTTAGTTGACTTCACTGTAAAAATGGGCACAGAGTGCAAAAATAAAGTAGGATACACTTCTTCAAATGAAAGAAAAAGTCATCCAGGGTTTTAAACCTGCATTATCAGCAGCAGCAGCACCACACTGCAAAAACACAAAAGCTTACCATGGAGTTTCGGTCTAGTTTCTTGTCGAACCATATTGGCATACTGGATTTAAGACAAAACTAACTTATAAGCAACTTTTCAGCAAGACAAAAGTCAAGGATGTCAAACTTATTTTCATTTAAAATTTGAATGTGCTTAAAAGGCCGGTTGTTCCAGAATGTATTAATAAAACCCAGTAAACTGTGAAAATAGCAATAAATCAATCAGAAAAGTAAAGTAAAATTAAATAATATTGATCAGTCCATCCAGGATTTGGGGATTTTTTTTATTTTCGATCAAAAACACAAATTTTTAGAAATATTTGGAAAGAATTTTGGTCTATTTTTTGTGAATATATCCTAGTTTTGTTTTAGATCACGTGTACTAACTTACAAGTAACTTTTAAGAAAGATATAGGAGATTTGTAATCCTTAATCTGGACGTAAAAGTAGTATTTCTGCACATATAATTGTGCAAACACTTAGGCTAATTTTGTGTTATTTTAAGCATGCTAAGATATTTGCTCTAGAAACTTCAAACCAAAAATACTTGTTAGGATTTTGTGTTTTTGCAGTGCAGCTCTTAGGCTCATAAGCTAACAGTGTGTGGCTCATTTATAGAATAACTACATCCAGTCTGTAGCGTGTAGCAGCAGAACAATGGTCTGAACAAACAACTTTGATGTGGTTTTGGGATTCCTGCAGGGAAGATTTTTTCCTGTTGTTCCCCCTTTTTTTAAATGTGTTTACTGCAGAGTTTGCAGAGGCAGCAGGTTTCTGGCTCTGATTTGCAGCTGCTTTCAGTGCACCTTGCTGAGCGATATGCGTGTTCAGCAGGTTTTACAGCAGACAATTAGCACTTAATGACACCTCCCACTGTCCCAGCCTACAGAAGGTGCAATCCATGCTAAACTTGCACAAGTAACACAAGAATAAAAAGATTAGGAAAACATATAAACATATAGTGAGGCTCCCTGGGATCTTGATTAATTCATTGCATAGATTTTGACCTGATAAAACCGTGAACATAGGTAAAGGTTCAGCCCAGAACCTTTGTACCAGCGTGTTTCTGATAGGCCCATAAATCAGACGCACTCAGACATTTGCAAACAAGACAAAACTGCTTCTCTTGGCCCACCGGATGTAAATTTTTACTTAAAAAAACGTTCTGATGAGACCCTGAAAAAGACTTGCTGTGTTCAAGTCGTGCTAAAAGCAGTTAGCTTATCAGCAAACTATTCAAGGCTAAAATGGGATTTCAGTGCTAAACATGTAGCAGCAGCACACACGTTCCCAATGCTAACGTTAACAGCCACAGTCCACATTTCAGAGGTTTCAAGAAACATCAGGAGTTCCTGTAACACTGAACCTAAACACTTATACCAGTCAGATGGTTAAATTACCTAAAAGCACATTAAATAGAATAAATATATTTGTTTTTGAGCTTTCATGTCTATTTATTCAATAAGTTAGTTTTAGAATGGCCTGAAAATGTTGCTTATTTTGTTTATATATAGTTTTTGATTAAGATTTGTTGAATCACAGTCCCTGAAATTAATTATTAAAAATTACGATTAAGTATCACTACTACTAAAATGATTACAAATACATTAATCTGTTCTTGGATCATCATGATGGCACAGTGAAGCTTTAGAAAACCTCCCGCTTTAATGATTTTTGCATTTTTGGGAGCATACAGCGAGAGCGGTCAGTAGCTGTTTGAATTCAAAAAGCCAGTTTTGTTACCGACAAACAAGATCTTTAACTTTATTTTATTTAATTCTTTTTTAACTCAAATTATTGTAAACATCCACAAGTTTTTGTAGATATAGTGTAAGTTTCTTTTTACACCTGAAATAAGACAAAATGACTTATCAGTAACTTTTCAGCAAGATATAAGAGCTTGTTTTCAGTCACCATTTTCTTAGTCTTGGTGAAAAGTTTGAATTCCACTGGTAGATTATTTCACAATCAACTGTTACCTAGCAAGCCCAGCAAAGCCCATCCCTTAGAAACCCAGTTCTTAGTTCACTGGAAGATTATTTTACTGAAAACAAGGAATAATGTCTTTTTGTGAAAAACACAAATACTTACAAGTACTTTTTCATTAATATTGAGGAATTATTGACTTAAAACAACCCTCCCTTTTTACAGTTACTTGTAAGTTAGTTTTCTTATTTCAAATGAACTAAGATATTTTTATTTGAACTTCCTAGAAACTTAAGATTTTGTGTTTTTGCTGCGTTAGTATTAGAAATAATTTTCTTTTTCTTGCTGTTCTGCTCAAAATATTACTACAATTGTATTAAATTGGGGTTTTTTTTGTTTTCTCTTCCAATGTTTTGATTCTGGGTGAGCCACAACAAACAGATAAACCTCCCACAGTAGAACGGCTACAGCTGCTAAATCCGGCACAAAGGCCGCAACAACATAACGCTGTGTTATCTGAACGTTTCAGGCCAAGCAGTCGGGAGATTCTTTCCCGGCAGACTCGGATAAGACGATACACACCCAGAAAGTGAACGTCCCACCAGCCACGCATCTCATCCAGGGCCTGGAGCCCCACACGCGCTACGCCGTCAGGGTGGCCTGCGACAGCAGCCAGGGGCCGTCTGACTGGTCGCCCTGGGTGGAGCTTCGCACACAAGAAGGAGGTGGGTCTCTCAAGAGGATTGGTGATGATTTTTTTTCCCTAGCCCTCTGAATGTCAGTGTTTGTGTTGGAAGTATGTGAAGGTCAAAGCTGCAATGTTTCTTCTAAGTGATCTCCAAGTTTCCTCCCTCTTTAGTTTTGGGCTGACGCGCCAGTGAAAGTTGCAGGTGCAAACCAAAGTCAAATATTTAGATCGATTCATTTCACTACAACTTGTTTGTTTGTGTAGCACAAGGCAACTCAAGGTGCTTTACATCATTGACAGATACAGTCATCAGTTGCGAAAAAAAGCAATAAACATTACATTCTGTCAAATTACTACTAATGAAAACAACAGACTTGTGACCTGACCTCATGTTGATTTGAAGTATTCCTGATACGTGCAGGATTAGTTTCCCCTTTATGAAGGGTCAGTCAGTGCTTTCCCTGAAACGGGATGCAAAAAAAACCTGCTTAATCGAAATTTAGTGGTGGTTAGATGTAGGCTAGTTTCCATTTTTTTAGATACTTCTGGGTTATTTAGAAAAGAAAGTCTGAGTGAGCTGAGTAAGCAGTTTCAGACACGTGAATAGGAACACAAATGCTGTGTTGGTGGCTTTTTAAAAATGATTCTTAGTTTCTTTCAATATTCCAGAAATAACATGCAAAGAAGCTGGATACTGACATACGCCAAGGCATTTTGTTCCACGAATGGATACCTGGGCATGGTATCCTAATCATGTGACTGACTTTATTAAATCAGGTATCAAAGTATAGAGACGTTGCATGATGAAATATGAGCTTGTGTTGATCTTACCTTTCTGCTTTATGCACGTGAGAGATATTCTGTCACCTGAAATTGAAAGGAAGTAATAATGCTGGGAACAGCATAAACCTTAAAACTCTCAGCACCCGAAAATAAACAGAAAGCTGAATTCCAGTAATCCCAGAGGAACAGAGGAAGAGAAATCTCCCAAAGAGCCCCCAACGGAAGGGGACCAGAGACCCAGAAAGACCCCGGACAAGCCCCCAGGGGTGTAGCTTTATCTCAAACTGACCATTTAGGGAAAAATCCTACACTATAGACAAGGAGGTAAAATCAACTTTTTAGGGCTTTACATCATCTTACAGTGTTGTTCCCTTCATTCTTTCATGCATGTTTGAGGAATCCTTTTGTATGTGCCGCTCCTTCAAACTAGCTGCAGCAACTATTAGCAAATACCTGGTGGAACTACTGGTTTACTGAGTTCCTAAGAATGGTTTCTAAACGGCATAATGAGGAGCTTCGGTGTGACGATGTGCTGAAGGCAGCATATCAGAAAGAGCAGGAGCTTCTTAAAGAGACAGAGGTCCAATTTGAAGGCGTTAAATTGTAAAGTCAAATTTCTTTTAAGTTATGTTTGACATATGTAGCATTTTTATAACAACTGAATGAACATAGTTACTTGATTATGCTATAAAATGGAACTGTGTGTCTGGAAAATGCATAATACCGTCACTTTAATGCATTTCTACTGCATACCAGAGGGGAAAGCAAACAAGCCACTTTATTGGATTATTTTGAAACATCATTAGCACCCCTGACTGTTTCTGTTTGTAATACTGTAGAAACTTAATTTCACATCTTCAGCAGTCTGGACGTCACACAACATGCTTGATTTTAGTAAAATGTTTCAGTTTTTCGGGACGAGGCCAGCAGATTCATCGTGAAAATATTTAATGGGTTCATGGCGAAGCTTCCCAGCATCACAGATCCTAAACAAGTTTGTGTGTCATGCAAAAAAAAAAAAAAAAAGGTTTGTTATCAGTCCTGTTTAGTTCACTTTAATCAAACTCTAGTTTGTTTACTTTGAAAGTCTGGTTCATTTGGGGAGGTGTGAACGCTCAACTGAACTCTGATGTGGATCGGTTTGATTGCATATTTGAACGCCAAGCGGAATGGAGAGGAATTGGACTGAAACACAGGGCTTGCTTCATTTCGCACAAAAATGCGTGAAAACTAACCACAGCTGCTAAAAATGTAGCTGCTTACCACTTCGGTCCCCAATTGAACCGATTCTACTGGACTATCAGGTGTGAAAACACCTTACGCAGATTTCCAACTTCTATTTAAAAGATTTTGGGCCGTAAATCTCTCTTAGTCCAACTGTTTATAGAAGAAACCAGGCTGTGCCTCTGTCTGCCCAGTTTCATCCGTTAGCAGATGACAGGCCGCTTTAGGAGGGACAGAAATGGAAAACGCTGTGGAAAGTCTCCTGAAAGGCTTCACTGAGTCCTTCCAAACGGTAATGTTAAGCAGCGGTGTGTTTGACTTTAAACCAGTGCTTCTCAAATGGTGGGGCGGGCCCCCTTTGGGGGCGCGGTGCGATACCTGGGGGGGCGCGTGTGATCCTGGGGAACAGGCTTTTTTTGGCCGAACTAGTATAAAGTGTAATTGCGCACAGTAGGCGGCAGTGGTGCGCTCATTGTTACTTCTGTCACGTTTGCGACAGTGCAACATTTTACGACTTACAAGACAACAGGTTTGCCTTGGTTAGCAGTGTTAAGTCAACAAAAAGCTCCGACTGCGTTCTGTCTATGGCCTCCGTTGTTCAACAACCCCCAACATGAAAAAGTTTTTCACAGGGATGAAAAGAAAAGCGGAGAGAGACAAAGATAATGAGACAACAGAAAGTCAACCAAAAGCTAAGAAGAGGAAATATGACGAAGCGTATTTAGCGCTTGGCTTCACTGTGACTACAGTTGGAGAAGAGGAAAGACCGGTGTGTTTGCTGTGTCTAAAAATGCTCGCAGCGGACAGCATGAAGCCAAATAAATTAGCGCGTCACTTAAATACGTTACATCCCAATCACGCCGATAAGCCGGTAGAGTTTTTTCAGCGAAATTAATAAGGAAAAAATGTTATGCAGAGATGGATAGTCACGGTGGGGAGTGGGGGGCGCGAATAGTTTTCTTCTTGCTAGGGGGGGCGTAACGGAAAATAATTGAGAAGCACTGCTTTAAACTGAGGTGGGATTTTCCATGCCAACTCATGCTGACTCCATCCATGGATTTGAAAAAAGTGCCTGGAAATAGAGGATACTGAGAAGAGAGAGAAGGTTTTGGCAGGGGCTTTCCGTGATGAAAGCCGCCCCCAATCATTGAAAAATGCTTCAACGCAGCATTTCTCATTTTCTCATAAACAGGAAAAAGAAAAGAGGGAAGTAGGACTTGTTGAAGTGCTGGTCACAGGCAGCATTTAGCAGTTTCAGTTCTTTATTTCACAAAAAAATGTTATAAATCTTGGTTTCCTTTTAGCGGTGAGAAAGAAAAAAAGAAGTTTATGAATTTCTTTAAGAGAGAAAAGTCTTTGCACTTGTCTAAATGAGTCAGAGGATAAAAAAAAGCGGTGGCCTGGTCACAGATCAGCAACATTTTCCACATCTCTCTCTCTGGCTCTGGTCGCCTCTTTGCTGTCTTTCTCTCTAACACTGTCCAAATATGTTCTGCTCGGTCCCTTGAACATATCATCCGTCTGCTTCCTCAGTGTGTTACACATCCAGATCCTGAGAGCTGTTTCTGTTTCTCACATCCATCATTTGTTTCCTGAACAAACTCCCCCTCGTGTTCTTGCGTTTAATCTATTCCTTTACTTAAAATCCAATAAGCGATGTTGAGCAGAAGGAAACTGGAAGGCAAAAACAAAAAAAAAAGGTTTGACAGTGGGAAATGAGAACAAGAGCTTGAGAAAACACAATTTTTTTTGCGGTTTTTCTCAAAATTTGTTTTTCTCCTAGGAGGACGAGTGAGCAGCGAATGAATCCAATCTGAAACAAAAGAAAAGAAAACATTTAAAAGCACAAACGGTTTAATTTTTGCTTCTGTTTGTACTCTGAAATGAAAGTCATTAAACCGAGACAGAATTGGTCCGTTTATTTCTATTTATGCAAACTAAAAAGTCCAAGAGGAGCCAGAAATTACATCCAAACCGGAAAGGTTGCAACATGCAGCATATAATAACAGTTATGAGCAGCATAAGATTGCTGCTGGGACTCCAGGGTTGCCTTAGAGGTCAGGTTGAGCCTTTTACAAGGAAACCCTCACTAAGATTGAAAGGAGAGAATCAGGGTAGTTGTGCAATTCATTGTACTTTCCAACACATGTTTTATTGGGATGTAATGTCCTTTCTCCACCCTGACACTTCTGCATAAAATTCAACACAACCTATTGCTTTCAGAAGGCATCTATTAAGTAAATAAAGTATGGTTTAATCATAGGGTATGGAAACTCCACCCCTGTTTGGTCCGCTTTAACTCCATTTCGTTTGCCGAAAAGTTTCGTTTTTGTTACAGGATAAAACATCAAAAGCAAGTTCTGGATTTTTTAATTTTAAACAATGGTTTCCACTTTAAGTAAGCCTTATTTCCAGCTGGTTGGATCTGCACGCTTTGGAGCTGAAATCTGTTTGAAAAAGGCCCAAAAGAGAGGGAAGAAATCTTGGCATCTTTGGGAAAAGGAGAGAAAAAAGAGGTTTATCGGAACAAGGAGGAGAAGTGTAGCGCAGGAGAAGGAGGAGCGTTAAGGTGGAGCCGGACCGACTCTGAGGCTGTTTTCGTTGTCGTTCGCCGGGAGAACACGACCGACATGTGGAAACAATCAACCGCAAAACGATTCCTGATAACATCATCCATACTGTAGGCTGGGCAATGATTCCCAAAACTCACAGTGACTTCACCGGGGGGGGGTGTGTGTGTGTGTGTGTGTGTGTGTGTGGTGTGCGTGTGTGTGTGTGTGTGTGTGTGTGGGTGTGGGTGGGTGGGTGGAGTGGTTCTTTAGAGCCTCCCCCACAGAAACAAAGCATAACAAAAAGAAACAAAGCCAGCTCTCCTACTTGAGAAATAGATTTTTGGAGTTCTGTGCTACATGGAGCGTCAATCTCAAAACAAATTCCTCATTTCTTTCCTGGAACATTTTCCAACTGCTTTCACACAGGAAAAAAAAGAAACAGACAGAGGAGAGTAAACCAGAGGAGGAGGAGGAGGTCAGGGAGTTGACTCTCCTGTCCATGGTGCCCTCATGTGCCCCTTTGCTGGATTCTTCACATTTCCTCCCACTTCATCCCCCCAGATGTTGCAGATTCAACCATCCTAAAGCCTTGGAAGCTGTGAAAACAACTGATTAGCCTCCGGCCTCTTTCACCCAGCTGCTGGCTCCCCCGGCTTCTGCAGGTTTCGCCAACTCAAATATAAGACTTTAATTAAATTTAAGCTCTGTGTCACGGCAGAAGAATATTAAAGGCAATCGGATATTTATATAGGGGTCTCCTCCCCTCCCCCCCATTATAAATATTTGTAAAACGTTTAATATTCCATCAAAAAAAAAAAAATTTTGCAATTATGATGTTTCCATTATCTACTTCCTGTTGCTTTTCTTTTCTGCCAGGAGTAGCATCTGGTTGTTAGTCATGAGACTGTATATTGCAAAAAATAAAAGTTTTCATTGCAGTTTTTCAAAATACAAAACTGCAAAACAAACTTTGATACAACCGGAAAGTCACCTCAATAACTATCAAAAATATATATATTGTTTTTTTTCCCCAAAAATTTGCCGTGTTTCCTTTATGTAATTATGTGATCAAGAAAATGCAGCTATTGGCAAAGACGACGGCTGTCCACTAGTTAAGTCCCAATTGGAAATATAAGCTGTTTTTAATTGTTTAATGGAAACGTCACATTGACGAAATAGTTTTTTTCTATATTAGTGAAATATAGACAAAGCTTTGCTCACGTTTCTAATGAAAATGCAGAGAGAAGGGCGTGCTGTGGTGGCGTAGTGGTTTAGCACAACCCACGTTTGGAGGCCTTACTCCTCGACGCGGCCGTCGCGGATTCGATTCCCGGACCCGGCCACATTTGCTGCATGTCTTCCCCTTTCTCCTTGCCCTCTTTCCTGTCAGCCTACTTTAGAATAAGAGCCACTAGAGCCCACAAAAACCTTGGAAAAAAAATATGGAAGAAAAAAAAAAAAGAAAATGCAGGGAGATGCAAAAAGCTTGCTAACTAGCATGCTAGTTAGTGGTAACCTCAACCGCCTTGAGTCACAGAACCTATTGAAGATGACTGACTTTAATGTCGTGGTTCTTCTCGCCCATGATTCAGTGCCAGACAGCCCACCAGCCAACGTGACCGCCAAGCCGAACGGGACCGAGGTGCTGGTGTCGTGGGAAGAGCCTCCGGGGAAGCTGAACGGGGAGCTGCAGGGGTACCGGGTGGAATACAGCATACCCTCCATGCCACAGGTCAGCCCCAATAAACAACACAGGTTGATTCTCTGAAACATTAGCAGACATTTACACGTCCATTAATGTAAATGAAGTGTGATTTAAACCACACAGATTTAGCTACCACATTGTGGCTGAATCTGACCCTAACCCTGCAGGGTTAGGGTTGAGGGCAAAACAAACATGTCAGAAAACTGGCACATGCATAGAGGACCCAAGACTTTGAGACCGACCAAAAGAAAATATGTGGACACTCTTGACCAATGTGCAAGAGAGAGATTAAATATCAAAATGGCTGCTGTCGGTAACGGCCCAAATGACACGGAGAAGTAAAACACCTCAGATGACGCAGACAGGTTGCCTCATACTATCTGATGAACACGAAGAGTGCGCACACCCTGGAGGAGCTACATTAGCTAGGCTGATTTTGCTAGTTCCTGCAGTAAGTACTCCAGTAAATATCACTGATGTTTATCTTAGTATTACACAGGAGTGGGTAGAATAGTTGTAGTGTACTTTCATTGTTCACACGTTAAATAGGAGAGGCCAGAGCTCGTTCTAAGCCTTTGGCTTTGTTGTCATAGTAAGTCCATAGCAACTGCCTGCCAAGATGTCTGCCAAAGTCCATGTGGAGTGTGACATCACACAAGAACTATTTATTAACAAGGAATACATGAAAATGAACTTTAGAGAAAAGTAAGTTTGGTGTACATGTTTTGTTTATGTTTCAAAAATGACTCATTTTTCAAAATAAAGGCTCTACTTCTGCCTCTACTTAGCTGTGCTTACTGCTTTGCCTAAAAATAGAGTCCCTTTCAGGGTTGCCAGATCTGGCGGACAGTTTCCAGCCCAGATGCAATGTCAACTTAAATAAAAAAGAAAAACATCCCGAATCTCAAAGTCTGTTAAAGCTCATGATAAAAGTGATGGATTCTAATCATTTCTAAAGAAATGAACCGATAAAATGAGTGCAAGAACAACATTTTGTTAAAAATCTAGAAGTTTTTTATTTCTTTGTTACACAGTAACAGCTACTTTAATTAATAGGATGTTCTAATTTTTTAAATTGCTAACTTGACACCATTTAATTGGATCAGAAAACAACAATCTTCCACATTTGTAACCAAGAAACATAAACAAAACTAAAAATTTTCTTAAACTTTATGAATTTGTCATTAAATGACCAGTTCACTTGGTTTTCTGGGTCATCTTTGTTTCTTTTTGTCACCAGTTTAATGCGGACGCTGGACTGGACACAGAGTTCTCCATCAATCTGTCCGTCCCGTTGTCCAACGTGTCTTTTCGGGTCTGCGCCTACACAGGGGCCGGTCCTGGACCCTGGAGCCCGATCAGGATTCTGGTCCTCAATTCGCCTGGTGAGTGACAAGAACAATCAATAACAAATATTAATAAATCCTATTTACCAGGGTGTGGTTTTTATTCTAAAATAATGAGGTTAGCTAAAACATTGATAGTTTGAGTAATGTTTAATAAAAATAATTATTTGTAGAGATTTTTATCACGTTCCTCAATTCCAGCTTAAATAAGGATGGAGTCCAAGAGATTTTATTCATGTTGGCTTTGAGTTTAAGTAACTTTAACTTGAGCTAATTATGCTTAAGTAACTATACCTAATTATAGTTGACCTAATTTTTCCTTACACTGACTTTAGTTAACTTAACTAACTATGCTAACTAGTTGGGTTAGGTAGCTGTACACAAGCTAACGATAGGTAGCCTGATCGCTGAACATAGCATGCAAAATCTAAAGAATTTGAAGCCATTTACAAAGTTTGCAGAGCCATCAATGCACAATAATGTCTGTTTGAAAGGAAAAATGTAAAGAAATGAGAAACTATTTAATACTTGATGTATGATTTTAAATGTTTTTCTCTTGTAAATAAATATAACAGTTGTTCTTTTCTTCATTCTTCAGAAACGGGGAAATTCAGAGGTGAGTCCACATGCAGACCCTTCACACTCTCTCTCTGCTGTGACAAAATGACCGGTGGCCTGTTGGTGGAAGTGAGCTAATGATGTTTTCTGGGATCTTCGGAGCTTCTCTTTTTCACATTGTGTCACGGGCTTCCTCTGTTGTATGCGCTCAAAAAAAAAAAAAGAGGAAAGAAGATAAAATCAAGAGAGGAGGGAAGAGAGGCTGAATGGGGGAGACGCGTCATAAATATTTATATCAAGCTGAGGCAGTGTAGCACCTCTGTTTGCTTTGTCTTAAAGACCCAGACATCAACAAGAAGGATGGAAGAAAAAAGTGAAAAGGAGGCAGGGAAAGTTGGGGGAGGATGAGGAGCTTGAGGTTTTTATTTGCAGTTTGTGCGAAAGACTGAGAGAAGATTTCAGAATGAGTGATGGGATGGCAGCAGCTCCACTGAAAGAGGATATTAGTGGTAGATTTATCCCAAAGGCAGACATTACTTCTGAAAGAGTTTAACTGCAATTCAGAAAAACCTCCACGGAAACATGGAAGACAGCGGAAAAATTCACATTTTCAACGTACAAATGTGATGTAAACACATTAGATATTTAACAGATTTTCCTTCCTCCCTTAAAAAAATAAAATAATTTAAAAAAAAAAATTTTAGGACTGTCGCCAGAGATGAAATTAAATCCCACGGTGGAAAAAAGTGTCAGATTTGGTTTTGGCTGCTACTATTGAAAATGTTAAACAAAATCAATTAACTATAAAACAGGAACTGGATGCAGAAGCTGGGATTTATTGGTGATGCTCTCCATTTCTGGGCTGCACATTTCACTACTTTTCTTAGCAGAATAATTAGTTTTTATTTAAATTGGTTGTGGTTTCTTGGGTTACACTCAACTTTTAAGAAAATTATTCTAGAAAGGAAATGTTAGCCAGTCCAAAGTCAGTTCTAGTTTATTATGAATTATTATGACGCTCATGATGAGTACATGTTAACTTTTGACCAGAACCGTTAAATTTATAAGTTGAATTATTGGCTTATGCTTATATTTATTTTTTTGGCACGTCTTTTTAGATTACATTTGACCTATGTGGCTAATTTGCAAGATAAACAGAAAGTTGAAAAAGTTGAATCGATTAATCAATTATTGAGATAATTGTCAATTAATTTAGCAATCAATTAAACTTTACCCGTAGCTTACAGATTTAAAAAAAAGGCCATTTGCTGAAAAAGAAAACATATTTAGAGCAATAATTCAGCTAAAACCATACAAAATATGTACGCACATTTTACAGTAAGCTAAAAGCAGATTTACTAAAGGAAAGCTATATTATTGCATTTTAGGCAATAAAATGTTTAATATTCATGGAATTTCATTAAGTTTTTCTCTTTTAATGTATTTCTAATATTTTATATGAAATACATTATGATTTTTTTATGTTAAGGATCATAAATTTTGCAAAATGTGCCAATTTTTTAAAATCTGATTAATTAAATAGTAAATTTAAAAAAAAAAGGTTGATTTTCTGCCATTAGTACATTTAGCACTGCGTACACTAGGTTGATTGGCAGCACTAAGACCTTCTTCCACCTTATCATGTGTAGTTTCTAGTGAAGATATTTTAGTGCACTTGAATTAAGACAAAACTAACTTACAAGTAAATTTTCATCCAGATGTTGCAGCAAAATAATTTCTTAATATTGGAGAATAAGTTCTAATTCCACCGGCAAATTATTTCACTTGCAACATGGAAAAACATTTTATAATAAGTGAAAAAATCTTCCAGTGGAACTGGAACTGGGTTGCTAGGTAACGGGTTGGGGTTGCTAGGTAACGGGTTGGGGTTGCTAAGTAACGGGTTGGAGTTGCTAGGTAACGGCGCTGTGGAATATTCCACCAGTGAATTAGAACAAAAAATTATTAACTTAAAACGAGCCGCTGTTTCTCTCTGAGTAATTTGTTCGAAGTTAGCCTCGTCTTATTTCAACATTTGCTCTAAAATCTAGGCAAAAATGCTTGGTGATATTTTATGTTTTTGCAGTGTAAAACCTGTCCAAACTTTGGTTGAGCTGTTAAACCGAGTTCATCCCTTGTCCTTTCAGGTTCGTCAGATCCGGAAACGTTTTCCTGGCACTGGTGGTATGTGGTGATGGCCGTCACCGGCGCCGTGGCCCTCACCATCCTCCTGGCTGTTTACGTGGCCAAGCTGCGGCGCAAAGAGACACGCTTCGGGTGCGTAGGTTTGTTTGTCCTCCTTGTGGGTGGAAGGGAGGGACCCGGCCACTCGGGCCAAACCATAATATTTTCCGTCCCTTCCAGACTCCATTGCTTGTTACTTTCTGTGAGACGTTTTCTGCGTTACGCCGCCACACTTCCAGTGTTGTTTACACACTCGCCCGACTGACCACATCTGTGTTGCCGTTGTGTAAAACACCAGCTTTAAAGTCCCTCCACTGGCTCCCTGTAGCTCAAAGAATAGACTTTAAAATACTGTTGTTAGTTTATAAATCACTGAACTTCTTAGCACCACAATACATTAAAGATGTGCTGTTGTTGTCTCAACCTTCCAGATGTTATGTTTTTGTGTTTGCTATGATGTGAAGCACTTTGAAATGCCTTGCTGCTGAAATGTGCTGTACAAATAAAATTTGATTGTTTTTGCAGGGAGGCGTTCGAGCCCATGATGGAGCGCGGGCAGCTGGTGGTGAGGTACCGCGCGCGCCGCAGCTACAGCCGCAGGCCGCTGGAGGCGACATGTGAGTTCCTCTGAACGCACCTGGAGCAGAAACTCTGAGCTGCATGCCCAGACCTGACTCCCTCAGAGTGAAAACATTGGATGAGCGGGAAACGCCGCGCCTCACCCCGCAGCGACTGCTCTGTCCACCACAGTAAAACATGAAGAGATACGGCAGGCCATTTCAACATAAAATCAGTTTCACCGCTTATATTTATGCTTATTACGAGCCATGAAGTAAACTTTTGTTCTGACTAGTCATAATTGTAATTAAAGATATCTTAAGATATAATTCAAAATGTTTTAAAGGAGGAGCTTCATGTAAAATTGACTTCTTTTTAGCTTTACATGATGTTTTAAGCTTTTTCTTCATCAAAGTCACATCTGCAGTGTTGCCTTGATTATTTCATGCAAGTTTGAGAAATCCTTTTAACTCCATGGCAACCATTCAGCTGTGTGAAAAACCTGGGTGGACCTAGCCCCGCCTTCTAGATGCAGCTAGCCCCGCCTTCTACATGCAGCTAGCCCCGCCTTCTAGATGCAGCTAGCCCCGCCTTCTAGATGCAGCTAGCCCCGCCTTCTACATGCAGCTAGCCCCGCCTTCTAGATGCAGCTAGCCCGCCTTCTACATGCAGCTAGCCCCGCCTTCTAGATGCAGCTAGCCCCGCCTTCTACATGCAGCTAGCCCCGCCTTCTAGATGCAGCTAGCCCCGCCTTCTAGATGCAGCTAGCCCCGCCTTCTAGATGCAGCTAGCCCCGCCTTCTAGATGCAGCTAGCCCCGCCTTCTAGATGCAACCCCACAACTCAGCTCCTTCAGACTAGCCATCAGCAATTAGCAAACTGCACATCTGCTGAGCTCATCATAGGAGCTGCTTCTCAGTGAAATGCTGGTAAAAACCGCTAAAGGGTAAAAAGAGGAGCCATGATTTGAACCATGTGTTTTCAGAAAGAGCAAGAGTTTTAATTGGAATTGGAATAAGGCTGTTGTAAATGAATACTTTAGTAAGCCAGTTTTCTATCAATTATTCTTATGATTAATGGAGTTATTGGATAAGAAAAGGATAACATACTTTTGGTAAATCTGACATGACAGCAGTGTTACTATCGGATATCCAGATCACTTCAGTTTTTCACATTTGAGCTTCCCTAACAGTTACTTTTCTGTAGTTTAGAAAACTAACCTGTAACAATAATAGTTCACTTTCTAAGTTAACCTGAAGAAAAGCTCTACAAGAATCTGAAAGTATATTCAATTCAATAATATGGACAGGCTCACAAATGCACTAATAAAATACTTCAGCTTCTGGAGTTTAGTCAACTATTAAACTTCAGTCAGTTTAATAGATGAACTCTCACCTTGCACAGACATTTATAGCAACACACACAGAAACTCATCTACCAGCCAGGTACCACCACAATGATTTCCGCCACCCAGGATGATATGAAATAAATTTTCCGGTTTGTCCGTAAAGCTACACATCTAAAGCACGTTTCATTTAGTGGAACACGATCCGCTAAATAACGAAATGTAAGTGAACGAAGCTTCGAGGCAGGAAAGTTTTCCTCTAGGAATTTTAATAATCAAGGTACTCGAATCATTCGCCGAATTGTTTCAGCCCTAAACTGGAACAATATATAAATTTAACCAGAAACCAATTTCAGATATCTGGACTCTAATTTGGTGAAACCAACTTCATGTTGAAACCGCCTGCTGCAGAATCTGCAATAACAAATTTCAGTTAAGGAAGCTGAAATGCTTCACATCAGATTTAAATGTTTTACAGTTAAATTTGTTTGTAAAAACTGACATAAACACCCAAATGAAGATGAAAGCTAAATTCATGGGTTGCGGTGACAGTGAGGACCAATCAGAGTCGATCATTTTGCGTTGCTTTGTGTGCCGAAACCAGTCTGCAACGTTTCTTTGTGATGTTGAGACATCAGAGACACTCAAACCTGAAAACAAATGCTCAGATTTCACCCAGCTGGGTCACATTCAAGCCCTGACATTGTCCCCAGAAAATATGTTGTGGTCCTTCTGAGCAGGTCCCCACATGCTGGGTTAGAAAAGAAAGAAGGAAAGACTAACAGGAGGTAAACAATTCATGAGGAGGAATAATAAAATGAAAAAGGAAGGGTTGGATTAGATGGATCTGATGCTGACCAGACGTCGTCGGTTCCTGACGTTCTGGTTGTTTCCGCGACCGGACATACCAGCATGAGTCGCAACATGCCTGTGGTCTGAGCGCATTTTTGGGCCAAGCTGTGTCAGATTGATGGTGTAGCAGCAGCTGGAGGCGATCTCCGACCGTGTTGTTGTTCTGTCAGAGTCTGGAGGAAAACAAAAAGGAACGTCTGCCCAGCTGGAGGAAACATCCCGGCACACTGGGAGTCTTCACATCCTTTTTTAAAATTACATTTTAAAAAATTCACCACACTGCAAAAACACAAGTATTTTTTTGTCTAGTTTCTACTTTAAATATCAAAGTACAATTGAAATAAAAGAAAACAAATTTACATGAACCTTTTCAACAAAATATAGAAACTTGTTTTAAGTAAATAATTATTAAATATTGATTTAAAAAATACTAGTTCCACTGACTAATTATTTTACTTACAACAAAAGATTTTTCCATGGTATAAAGAAATAATCTGCCAGTTACCTAAAACTGGGTTGCTAGGTAACGGCGCAGTGGAACTTTCTACCGGTGGAACTTTCTACAGTGGAACTTTCTACCAGTGGAACTTTCTACAGTGGAACTTTCTACCAGTGGAACTTTCTACAGTGGAACTTTCTACCAGTGGAACTTTCTACAGTGGAACTTTCTACCAGTGGAACTTTCTACCAGTGGAACTTTCTACAGTGGAACTTTCTACCAGTGGAACTTTCTACAGTGGAACTTTCTACCGGTGGAACTTTCTACCAGTGGAACTTTCTACCGGTGGAACTTTCTACAGTGGAACTTTCTACAGTGGAACTTTCTACCGGTGGAACTTTCTACCAGTGGAACTTTCTACAGTGGAACTTTCTACCAGTGGAACTTTCTACCGGTGGAACTTTCTACCGGTGGAACTTTCTACAGTGGAACTTTCTACCAGTGGAACTTTCTACCAGTGGAACTTTCTACAGTGGAACTTTCTACCAGTGGAACTTTCTACAGTGGAACTTTCTACCAGTGGAACTTTCTACCAGTGGAACTTTCTACAGTGGAACTTTCTACAGTGGAACTTTCTACCAGTGGAACTTTCTACCAGTGGAACTTTCTACAGTGGAACTTTCTACAGTGGAACTTTCTACCAGTGGAACTTTCTACCAGTGGAACTTTCTACAGTGGAACTTTCTACAGTGGAACTTTCTACCAGTGGAACTTTCTACAGTGGAACTTTCTACCAGTGGAACTTTCTACAGTGGAACTTTCTACCAGTGGAACTTTCTACAGTGGAACTTTCTACAGTGGAACTTTCTACCAGTGGAACTTTCTACAGTGGAACTTTCTACCAGTGGAACTTTCTACCAGTGGAACTCAAACTTTTTCACCAATATTAAGGAAGTATTGACTTAAAACAAGCTTCTATATCTCACTGAAAAGTTATTTCTAAGTCAGTTTTGTCTTATGTCAAGTGTTCTGAGATATTTACACTCAACCAAAAGTAAAAAAAAAAAATTGGTAAAATGTGTTTTTACAGTGCAGTTTAATCGTTTAACACAAGTAATCACAAATAGATGAAAAAAACCCAAAGTTACCAATAATCTTAAAACTCGATGTCAGCACATTACGTCTGAAATTAACCTTCAGTTTTGAGTTTCTTTTGAAAATGTTTTTCCTGTGATATTTAGTTTGAACATGTAAATAATGGTGTCTTGTTTATTTAAATTAGAGCTAAACCATAACATTAAAAATGTAAAGACTTTGAACAGGCAGTAGAAAGTTGTTTATTTTGTACTGGAGAAAAATATTTACAGTGATAACAAGTGATACTCCTTGTAAGGCTGGCTGATAATCTCAGATTTTTATCCTGATTTGAATAAATTTATCTTCTTCTTTTCTAAAAGTAACATAAATAGGAGTGTGTAGATGCATTTATTTGCACATTTCAGCTGTTTTCCTGCAAAGTAAAAACCTTTCTGGTTTTCCTCCAGTGAACAGCTTGGGCATCAGCGATGAGCTGAAGCAGAAGCTCCAAGACGTGATGGTGGACAGACACAGACTCACTCTGGGAAAAACTCTGGGAGAAGGTAAGCACAAATAAAGACGGCTTCATGTTACTGCCTTCACTGCAGAAACACAAAATCCTACCACATATTTTACTCTACTTACAATAGCTTCACTCGAAATTACACAAAAATACTTTTTGGGTGTTTATAATCTGCAAAAACAAAATATTAGCAGTATTTTGGAAGTTTCTAATGTATTTGTACCATTAAAATAATACTAAACTAACTTGCAAACTAACTAAAGTAACTTTTCAGCAATACATAGGAACTTGTTTTAAGTCAACAATTCCTTAACATTGATAGAAAAAACTTGTTCCAGTGGCAGATTGTTTCACTTATGTTACAACATTTAAATAATCTACCAGTGGAACTGGAACTTTTTCATCAATATTAGTGAACTTTTGACTTAAAACAGATTTCTGTATCTTGCTGAAAAGTTATTTGTAAGTTAGTTTTGTCTTATTTCAAGTGTAATAAGAAATTTGCACCGGAAACTAGACCAGAAATACTTGGTAAGATTTTGTTTTTGCTGTATGAAACACATAATACACAAAACAAACACAACATCTTAGCAAATATTTTTGTATATCTTAAGCAGATCAAGAATAAATCCCCTGGTAGGATTTTATGTTTCTGCAGTGTTGGTTGTGTCTGATGATTTTCTTTTTACAGAATCGTTGTTTTATTAAAGGTCTGGTTGTGTTTTGTGTTTTCAGGGGAGTTTGGCTCTGTGATGGAGGGCCTGCTAAATCAGGAAGAAGCTGTTCTCAAGGTGGCTGTAAAGACGATGAAGAGTGAGTAAACATTAAAATAAATCAACATCTACAGATCTCAGTTTTAGAAGTAAATCAGCGTCAGTCAGGTGTTTGCAGAAGAAAAGCACAAAATTAAAATAGTTTGAAGTAATTTTGAGCCAAAGTTGTGGGGTAGAGCAGCTCCACCCTCATGGGATTTTTTATTAATCAGAGAAAGTGTGCAAAGTTTTGCAAACGAGTTGATCGATGTGAACCGTCGTTCCTGCAGTTGCGATCTGCACGCGCTCAGAGATGGAAGACTTTCTGCGTGAAGCCGCCTGCATGAAGGAGTTTGACCATCCCAACGTCATGAGGCTCCTGGGTGAGGATCCTGACACATCATGCACATTTTCTTCAAAACTTTCTCTCCTATCAAGTATTTATTCTGCAGTTTCTATTGCAAACATCTTACTGCTCATAAAACAGGAACAAACTTCCACGCAACATTTCATCAAAGTGTGAGCTTGTTTCAGTTAAATAAAACTTGAATATTGATGAAAAAGTTCTAGTTTCACTGGTAGATCGTGTCATTTATAACGAGACATTTTCCTCATTTCACCTCCGAAAATAACCTGCCAGAAATTCAATAGAAAAACTTTCAAAGTTTTTTTTTTTTTAATTTGCTAGAAAAATTTGAGAAATTTAGGACAAACATTTTTGAAATTTCTGAGCTTGGAAAGTTGGAAATTTTATAGAAGAAACCCAGAAAAATTTAGGTTAATCTAAAAAATGTAATACGGAAAACATTTCCAAGCTTGAAAAATCAGTAATTTGCCATTTGGTAAACAGAAAAAACTAAACAAATCATTGATATAAAAATGTAAGTAATCTGCCAGTGAAACTTTTTCATCAATGTAAAGGAACTTTAGACTTAAAACAAGCTTCTAAAGTTATTAGTTCGTTACTTTTGTCTTATTTGGACCAGAAATTAGACCAAAATACTTGGTAAGATTTAATGTTTTTGCAAATCTCTACATACATGTTTATCAAAAATCACATGAAACTGAGTCGCTCTCACTGTTTGTTCATTTCTTGTTCATTTAAAAGCTTTCTTTAAAAAGCTGCTGGATTGAAAAATATCTTAATGTATATATATTTAAAAAATTTTCACATTTATGGTCTTTCAAAAAGAGGAAACCAGTTTTGGTTAGTAACACAGATTTATTACCACCAGAAGAAGAAGTGAAAGAAAGGGCATAAAAATATAAAAGAGTTTCATGTTTCACAACATGAACAAAAACCCAGAAATCATGTTGCACAGTAGATTTTAGTAGGACTTAGTGATGATTGAACATATTTAATGTGGTTTATTCACCAAAGCTGAACATCAGCAAGCGATTAAACAGTTTTTTAGATTATCACACTGTAGAAACACAAACATACTTTCCCAGAAATTTAATAGAAAAACAGAAAGTTTTAAAAGTTGCTAGAAGAAGACAGACATTTTGTTTTTGGCGTCCTGCTTATTGAATGCAATCAGCGACAAATGCAGCATTTTCCATTGATTCAGTTCATAAATAGAGGAGATTGTGTGAACATTGTGTGGATGATGAGTTTTTTCTTGCTGACTTTCTTCTCAGGCGTGTGTCTGCAGACGGTGGAGAGCGAAGGTTACCCGTCGCCTGTGGTCATCCTGCCGTACATGAAGCACGGCGATCTGCACAGCTACCTGCTGTACTCCAGGCTGGGCGACTGCCCTGTGGTACGCCTGAAAACAAACAGCCCAAAAGCAACAAGTCAGCAACAAACCAGCACTCGCAGTTTCACACACTTTATGGTTTTTAAGTTCACATGAATGTCAGCAAAACTGGATCCAAAGTTCAGCACAGTTGTAAAGTTTTTCTTAAATAAGCCTCCAACCACTCCCACTCTGGCAGCAGAAGCACTCGAAAACACAAAGTGTTTTTGGCGCCAGCTGTGAGCGATATGCATTAAATCCCCAGAAGAGCTGGGAAACTCTAATCAAAGCAAGACCTATAAAGAATGTTGAAACGGTTATGAAGCGGGCCAGCTTTTACAAACAAGCACACAATGGTTCCCTGAGGACCAACCAGGCAGTCTGCTGGAAAATTAGTTGTACTTGTAGAAAGATGGACGCTGGCGCCCTCTGCTGAGAGTAACGAGTAAATGACCTCTCCTCTGTTGTGCCCTGCAGTACCTGCCGTCTCAGATGCTGGTTAAGTTCATGGCCGACATCGCCCGAGGGATGGAGTACCTCAGCAGCAAGAACTTCATCCACAGAGACCTGGCTGCGCGCAACTGCATGTAAGGAAAACGCTTCTTCCACTTTTCTCTCTTTCAGTTCCCCGCAGGTCGTCTCCTTCGCTTCTTCTTCTCTTTTCTCAGGCAGAGGGTAAAGACGAAACAAAAAAGGAGTGGACATGCTAATCTGTTCATATGTTGGGATAAACATCATATGTGATCTTTAATAAATAAACTTGTCTGTTTCCGCCTCAGGCTGAACGAGAACATGAACGTTTGCGTGGCCGACTTCGGCCTCTCCAAGAAGATCTACAACGGCGACTACTACAGACAGGGCCGCATCTCCAAGATGCCCGTCAAATGGATCGCCATCGAAAGCTTAGCAGACCGCGTCTACACAACGAAGAGTGACGTGGTGAGTACCTGCACTCACCTGCACTCACCTGGACTCACCTGCAGTCTGTTTGTTCTGCTCACACCATGAAAACTAAACACATTGAAACAGTTTCACTTTGGAAAAGATCAGACAAAACATCTGGATCCGTCTACCTTTTAATGACACTAACAGGAAACAAAGCTCTGCAGGAAACAGAAAGAGAAGGGGTTATGTGGAGTAAATATGAGGAGTCAGTATCTTTCTTACAGTAAGCAGCAAAGAGAAATTTGTTATGCAGAACAAATTTTAGCTTACTTTTGATATTTGCGTCTTGTGTGATATTTTCTCTTGCTGTGATGTTTTCTTTTGTTTTTAATCTGCAGTAGGAAAATCTGCCAAATTATTGATATTTTATTCGAATTCGGTGATGTTTCAACTTTAACCAGATAGCAGGAATCTGGTGAAATGTTTTTGAGGCCAAACCTCTGGGACAGACGCCAGCTGCTGCAGCTGGTAAAGTCATTCAGGACCTCAGAAAGATACATGCTGAGCTGTGAATTATGGGTATTTTCCTGTTAACATACAAATAACGATCTCCATAACCCTCATCCACGGCGGTAACTCTTCTGTGAAGTTCATGTCCGACTGGAGGGAGGCGGCGCTTCCTGACCGTTCCCTCTGTCCTGTTTTCCGTCCTAGTGGTCGTTCGGAGTCACCATGTGGGAAATCGCCACGCGAGGACAGACGCCTTACCCCGGGGTGGAAAACAGTGAGATTTATGACTACTTGAGACAAGGGAACCGACTCAAACAGCCTCCAGACTGTTTGGACTCCATGTGAGTACGCTGGAGACAATTCATCGGATGAACTCAAATAATCTAACTTAGTAACCAAATGATCATTACTCTGCAAAAATATTAAATCTTAACAAGAATATTTGGTCTAGTTTATAGTAAAAATGTCTTTATTACACTTGAAATGAGGCAAAACTAACTTACAATCAAATAAATAATTCCTTAATATTGATGAAAGTGTAACAATATTTAATGTCTCCATTGGGATTAAGGAAGGAATTTGATTTGCATAATCTGCCAGTACAACCAGAACTTGGTTGCTAGGTAACGGGCTGGGGGTTGCTAGGTAGCGGGCCAGTGAAGCCTGAACTTTTTAATAAATATTCAGGCGTTATTTACGTAAAACTAGACTTTATATGTTGCTGAAAAGTTCCTTGTAAGTTAGTTTTGTTTTATTTGAAGTGTTAAAAGACAAAATTAGACTAAAAATACTTGGTAATATTTTGATTTTTTGCAGTGCGCTTCACATTTATGCTTATTTAAAAGCATAAATGGGCTGAACTTCCTCAAGTGTGTATTTCTGTTTATTTTGTGTAGTTGGGGAGACTTTTAGCAACATTTTTTCACTCTGCTTGTTTTGTGATGCGGTGCAACCATAGCAACAGGATGGTTTACAACAGAGAGCAGCTGATTGACAAGAGAAAAGCTGAAAACGATGTTTACGGTTTCTGTCCGACCTGCAGCTACTCTCTGATGTTCTCCTGCTGGCTGCTGAGCCCGAAGGACCGGCCGTCCTTCGAGACGCTGCGCTGCGAGCTGGAGAAAGCCCTGGAGGACCTGCCGGACCCGCAGGACCCGGACGAGATCCTCTACGTCAACATGGACGAGTCGTCCTCGGAGCTGGGCGCCGTGGGCGGCCGCGACCCGGCCGAGGCCTCGCCGCTGTGCCTGAAGGGCCTGGAGTCGGTGACCGCCGCGGAGGTCCACCAGCCCAGCCGATACGTCCTGTGCCCGCGCCGCGAGGCCGGCCGGGCGCTCTCCGACTCGCTGGAGAGCCTGGACATGCCGGTGTCGTCGTCCGCCGCGACGCTGCCGCTGCAGCCGTCCTGCCACGCCACGCCGGACCGCACCCCGGCCCCCACCCCGACGTTTGAGCTGCTGGAGGACATGGAGGCGACCAGGAGGATGCCCTGGCAGTAACTGAGCCAAAGCACTAACTCACCACAGCATGCTCATGGCACGAAGGCTTCCTCAGGCCGATGAGAGGATTTCCAAGGGGCTCTGAAGACGCTTCTTCATCCTGCAAACTGCAGGAGACGCTCACGGTTTTATGCTGCAGATCCAATATTTGCAGCACAATCTGGAGCTGCGTTTCCATGACAAAATGCTCAAAACGTTTTTGATCATCTTCTAATGTAAAAAAACTGAATTTTGCTGCCACATCATTTCCTTTAAAGGTTCCAGTACCACGTAAAACCAACCTTCAGTGATTCATCATGTTGGTGCTTTGATTCCTTCATGCATTTTTGAGAAATGCATGAAGAAATGCACCCAGCTAAATCCATTTAGCTGGGTGGACGAAGCCCCGCCTTCGAGCCGCAGCTCCTTCAGACTAGCCGGCAGTAATTAGCAAACACCACAGCCACGCTGGTGAAAATGTTAAAGGGTTAATAGAGGAGCCATGTTGTGATGACTTCCTGAAGGCGGAGCTTCAGAAAGAGCAGGAGCTTCTTAAAGTGACAAAGACCCAATTTCTTTCAAGAAATTTTACTTAAAAGTAAAACATAAATGCTACATTGTGAAAATAAGCCACTCTGTGCCTGGAAAACATATCACTGCCTCACCCAATGCTCAAGGTTTTAATTTAATGAATTTCTTTTCATAATTCCAACTTGCTGAATTTGAAGGTGAATGGAAACGCAGCTACTGAGATGAAGTTTCTCCTCCTCTCCAATGAGACGCCGCCATGCTGGACCGACCCTGTGAAACCAGCTGACACTGCCAGACTGAACCGATCCCACTCAGACGGACGACTCGTTTCAGTCGGTTTATCTCTAGACTGTAAAGTATTTTAATGACATATCTGTTTAAATCACTGCGGTGTGAAATACCAGGTACAATCCCAGGTCTGTCAGACTACAGAGAGCAGAAACAGCCACTTAAAAACGCTTCACTTCGCTTGGACTTTTCTCCGCTTTTCATCTTGTTACAACCACAAACCTGAAAATATGATTTATTTAACAAACCGACAGCAGAGTGAAGGAGTTAAAACCAGTCAATACTTAGAACTGATCAATACTCCAACAGTGTGTAGCTAAATATTTTGCTTTGAACTATTTTTGATGACCCCAATTAATCTTTGACTCTTTAGCGTTACAAACGGCACAATCACATAAAATCCCAGTTGGGCGTGTCAGGGTTTGTGGTTGTGACAAAACGCTGAAACAGCAACAGTCTGAATCTGAAGCCCGTCCTGAAACTGGATCTGACCCGGTCCGGTCCGCAACACATACTATCCTGCACCTTTCCTCCAACACGGGCGTGACGACCTGCATGACCCCTGATCCTCCGGGCATCAGGTGTTTCTACATTTCATAGGTAGAGGAAACGGACAAAAACTTTCAAAAGTAAAACGTTTTATAGAAAAATCTTGGAAATTATGGTGTTTGAAAAGTTTAAATGTTGCTAGAAAACTTTTGAGAAAAATTTCAGACATTTTCTTAAAAAAACAGAAAAAAACGTTTGACATTTCTGAATTTGAAATATCAAAATGTTGCTAGAAAAATATGAAAATTTCTAGAAAGAAATTGGGAGATTTTTGTCTGATTTTCAAAAGAAACATTTTCTAAAGAGAAAGTTGGAGTTTTAAATGAAAATAATCTCAGGCATTTTCTAGAAAATAAACATTTCTGTGTTTGAGAAGTTAAAATGTTGCTAGAGAAAAAAAATTATCAGATTTGATCTTTGTTCTGAAAGAAATCTGGAAATTTACAATTTTCAGAAATCAGAAACTTGCTAGAAGAAAATCAGAAATTTTGAAACTAAATATCCAAACGTCAAAAGATTTGCACATTTTCAAACTCAGAATTTTCTTGAAAATCTCAAAATGTGAGTTTTTTTTTCTATCAAACTAAATTTCCACATTTAATTTTTTTTTTTTTTTTTTTTTTTAGAGAAATCTGAACATTCCGGTAGTTTTTCTTGTTGAGCGGAAACCTCCAATCAGCAGCAATAAGGAACAGATCAAACAAGGAAATGTTTCAGTGTTGATATCATTCAGATTTTTGTTTTTATGCAGATTTTTTGTATTTCTTCAACTTTTGCACTAATGACTTCCAGTGGTTTAGACATTATTTCCCTTAAACTTAAAAAAAAAATGAATTGAAGGAGAACAAATCCTGGGAAAAAGCGCAAAAACCGTCATCCAGCTGCTCTTCTTCTGCGGTTTCTCCAACTGTTGCACTGAGGAGGAGCTGCAACATGTATGCACTTATATTTTTATGTATGTATATAAACAGTTTATTTGTAGTCCTGTATTAAGTCTTCAGATTAGGTTTTGCCGTCTTGGGAGAAGAAATCGTGCTGTGCTTCTTTGTGAGCATCAAAGGTACTTTAAAACCGTTACAGAATGTTATGGAGAACTACTTCATTTCCCTTTTCTGGGTTGTTTTTGTAATACAGTGGTACTTTCAGAGAAAAAAAAGGTGCTGGATTCACTTCCTGTTTCCTGTACATGGAGCCTTTTCTCTTCTTCCTCATTATCCTCATCAGCTTTCACAACCTTCCCAAGTGCCTTCAAAGAGCCAGTATTGTGCATTTTGTTGAATGTGTTTCTGCTGGTGTTTCTACATTTCTAAGGATTTTTGTACAATAACTACTTTGATTTTGTCACTGCCGATGTTTTTAGGCCCGAGCAGCTAAGCGCTGCGAAGGCCTATTGTTTCTGTACTGTTTCTTATTATTATTATTATTCTTCCACCCAAATGAATTGGCTTTTTGGGGGCTTTATCATATTCAAAAACTCACCAAACTTGGCAGACGCGTAAAGGGAGTTTCAAAATTTTGTATTTTAAGGTCATCGCAAAAATCCCATAAGAAATGCCTCAATAGCGCCACCTAGAAATTTTCAAAGGACCCTTTGCTATTCACTTACTTCATCGTAGAGACATGAAATTTGGTACACTTGTAGAGCTCCCAAGATGCTCAAAATTTACAATTAATGTCATAGTGCAAGTATCACAGGAAGTCGGCCATTTTGGATTGAAGGTCCAATTTTGAGGCCATTTTTGCCGTTTACAGCCTCTGTATTTGATCGAACTCCTCCTAGGGATTTCGATTGATCGCCTTCAAACTCGGTCAGTCTGTTCATAAGGCATGTCCCATCTAAAGTTATCAAAACGGTGAGTTTTTGAGTATGCTGAAGGGGGTTAGCAGGGGTCAAAGTTCACCTACTCGCCATAAAAAAATAAACTGCTATATCTCCTACACAGAAACTCACAGAGGCACCAAAGTTTCTGTGATTGATCATCATCGGGTCTCCTACAATATCCTATGGTCAAGTGATGACATCACTTAGGCCACGCCCCCTGAGAACAGGAAGTGTCATGTTTTACTGTCAAAGGTCGCTATCTGACCCCTTTGACCTCATCAACATGAAACTGTGCCCAGACACAGAAGACATGTTGGTGTATTGAGGATTCTAATCCCGACCAGCTACGATGGAGTAGGTGGGCGTGGCGGCGTGGCGAAGTGACCTGTAACGCCATCGCCATACGTTTGGCTCTCAATTCCACATTTTTGGGCGCAGCTGCTCCAACTCACAAGGATGGATCCTCATCCACTCCCCGACAGGAATCCATCACAATATTTGGTGGGCGTGGCCTAATTTCTCTATAGCGCCCCCTAGAAAACTTTAAATGATGAGCCCCAAGCCATGCTTTAACCTACAATTACGAAACTTTGTACACATGTGTACCATGTCAGGACTTACAAAAAAGTCTCTCGGAGCCATGGTCGAAACCCCACAGGAAGACGGCCATTTTAGATTGAAGTTCAAATTTTGACCCCATTTTTGACATTTACAGCCTTGGTATTTGATCGAACTCCTCCTAGGGATTTCGATTGATCGGCTTGAAACTCGGTCAGTCTGTTCATAAGGCATGTCCCATCTAAAGTTATCAAAACGGTGAGTTTTTGAGAATGCTGAAGGGGGGTTAGCACGGGTCAAAGTTCACCTACACGCCATAAAAACATAAACTGCTATATCTCCTACACAGAACCTCACAGAGGCACCAAAGTTACTGTGATTGATCATCATCGGGTCTCCTACAATATCCTATGGTCAAGTGATGACATCACTTAGGCCACGCCCCCTGAGAACAGGAAGTGTCATGTTTTACTGTCAACGGTCGCTATCTGACCCCTTTGACCTCATCAACATGAAACTGTGCCCAGACACCGAAGACATGTTGGTGTATTGAGGACTCCAACCCCGACCAGCTTCAATGCAGCAGGTGGGCGTGGCGAAGTGACCTGTAACGCCATCTAAGTTTGGCTCTCAATTCCACATTTTTGGCCACAGCTGCTCCAAACTCACAAGGATGGATTCCCATCAACTCCCCGACAGGAATCCATCACAATATTTGGTGGGCGTGGCCTAATTTCTCTATAGCGCCCCCTAGAAAACAGCAGCCCATAGGTTATGTTGTTATTAATTATTTAAATATACATTATTATAACTTTTTATATATATATAAGTTTATTTCGTGGGTTAAAGTACAAACATTCATTCATTTTTGCTAGAAATAATACAAACAAAGTCATTCAGCAAAACTTATGACACAGCGAAGTAAGAACACACTGGGGTCAGTGTTGATGGAGTACCACTGGCACCTTGTGGCGATATACTGGTACTGCTAGTGCAATACCAGTATTGCCCCAGCAGGAGGCAGTGGTACTCCATCAATGAGAAAAAAGATCGACTCTACGAAATAACAGTCAGCCGGCGACAGCTGGAGCTGCGAAGTTTTCCTGAACATTTTGCCTGCTTTTTGGAGCCACAGAACTGGACTACGCTCAACATTTTGCTTGGATTTTGGAGTTGCAAATCCGAACCACGCTTTTGAGAAAGAAGGCTCTGTTGGACCGAGTTGGAGAAGTTTAAACTGAGCAACAGCTTCCGCGGTGCGGGCGGAGGCGCTGAAAACTGCGTGAGAGCTTCTGTGGTGGCGTGAGGCGGCGGTTGCTCGTACCCCGCGGTGGCAATAGGCCGGAGCGGCGCTTGGCTGCGAGGGCCGTTCGAGGCTGCTTGCAGCTTTAATTTTACAATGTTTTTGCATAAGAAATGAATAAATTCAAAAGCACATTTTCTTCCTGAGCTTTATCAATGCAAACAACTGATGCAAAACTGAAAACTGCACAAAAGGAAGTAGCGAATCAGAAGTGGACGTAGGAGATCTGAACGTCTCCGTCGATCTCCAGTTTGTCGATTTCGCTGAAGTTTGTTCGGTGGAAGAAGTCGAACAGGTGCTGCCCGTTCACAAACGCCTTAAACCTCTGGTTGCCGCAGCGAATCGACATCTGGAGACAGAAAACCCGTCAGAAAAACACATCAGAAAGTGGAGCCGGACCCGATCAGGAAGCGAAACTCACGTCGAAGTACTGCCCCTCCACGAAGGGCGACCCGCTGAGCTCCCGCTCCTCGTTGCCCCACCGCCCTCCGGTCCGGGCGTTTCGCACCACGACGCCCTCCTTCACTCTGGGGTTCATGTGGAAGGCGATGTCCTGGGTTCTGCTCACCACCAGGTTGAAGCCCATCCTGGGACACCCAGGTTCTGTCAGCGCTCGGTTATCGGCAGGATTTGTGCAGCCGGGCAGCGAGAACGAACCTTTTGGCCCCGCAGGGCACCAGGCCCCGGACGATGATGGTCCTCTTAGGGTACATCCCTCCGGGGATCAGGGCGGCGAACGGAACAGGCTGAGAACGGGAGCAAGTTTCACTAAATCACACAGCTGTTACATCACAGGTTGGAAACCAGGGCCGGTGCCAAGACAAACGCTTGGGGCCCCCAGACCACCAGAGGGCCCCTTAGAGCGCCGCACCAAGACGACAAATGCATACATATAATTTCTTTGGTTTTAAATAGCATTTAAAAAATAGAAATGAAATGTTATTAATTATGGAAAAAATAATTTCAGTTGCACAATTTAATTTCTTAACCCCAATTTCAGCCATAATTCTAATCCCTTTCCAGATGCTATTCTTGTATAACAAACCACTGAAGAAATCAATAATCTATAGGTTTATTGATAGGTGTTTGTCAGTGCAGGGAAATTATTTAATCAACTTTTATGCTTATTTACCACTTTGTGATTCTGAAAACATGAACTAGAAACGTCAAGAACAAACTGCAGCTCAGTTCCCGATCCACAAGGGGGCGGTAAATAAACAAACATTACAATGAAGTAACTTTAAAAACAAACACTGTAATTCATTAATTACGTAGTTATATAAAAAAAGAGATAAAAGTGTTTGGTAGAAACACTTACTGGGTTGTAGAGCGGCTGCCCTCCCATCCCCTGCGAACAGATTTATAAAAATGAGAAAAGCATCAGAAAACGTCAGTATGGAATAATAATGCTGCCAATATTACTGAGATTTTCTCTCACCGGCAAGTGGGATCCTGGAAAACCTCCCTGTTTGGGAAGGAGTATAATTATGACACAAACCGTCTTTTGATAGTGATAAACTGCAACGTTGTGATTTTACCCCCATGTTGCTTCCTGGTTTTCCGCCCTGCAAATATTTACACGTTTCAAGTGATTATAATAGGAGAAAATGTTGAACGCAGCCATTACTGATGTGCTTATCTGAACTCACTCCCAGGCTGTCGGGACATCCACCCTGGAGATCAGCCAGAAAAAGTCGTTTAAATTATTTTGATATACAAGAAATTATTATAGATAATAATAATAAATAGTTACAGACCCCCATGTGGCCTCCAGGATATCCTCCCTGCTTAAAAAACAAATAAAAATATTAAATTAACTTCGTATAGAAAAGTTACTAGGTAACAGTGCGGTGGAACTCAAGCTTTTTTATCAACATTAAAGGATAATTTAGTTAAAACAAGCTGCTGTATCTTTTGTTGAAAAGTTATTTGAAAGTTTTCTTATTTTGCCGTTTTTGAAGTGTACCGAGATGTTTGCGAGAGTTTGTGTTTTTACAGTGTATATACTCACTCCCATTCCTCCGCCCGTGCCATCAGGATATCCACCCTGGGTTTTGTCAGAAAAATAATTTAAAAAACATATTTTGATTTTCTTTGAGCCACCCTGAAAGAAAACTATTGAAAGTTTCTAAAGGTACACACCCCCATGCTGCCTCCTGGGTATCCGCCCTGCTGAAAGGAGGGAAGAACATATTTTCTCTTTCAATTTATTTCTGACAAACTCTCTTCTAGAAGAAAAAGAAACATTTATTCTTTTTGTGCCAGAATCCTGAACATTTGTGGAATAACAGAGAAAAATCTCCTGCTTCATCCAACGACGCTGCATCCAGCAGACCATTAAACCACTGAGTATTTCATAGTCATGTTAGCTGAGCGCACAAACTTGACCTGCCTAATTTAAAAATTATTTTTATTTAAAAATGTTTTATCTGTTTTGTTTTCATATTTCTTACATTAATCTGTTGAAGAAAGCCAAAATAAATTATTGGTTTTTTGTTAGCTATGTATTTTACATGGATAAATTGATTGTAAATACAAACCCCCATGCTGCATCCTGGATATCCGCCCTGTGAAGAAGCCATGTTTAGTTTAATCCATGACGTGAGACCAAATGGAGGAAACGAATAGCTGAGTGTGAATGTTGTACTCACTCCAGTTCCTCCAGGAAACTCGCCGCCGCCGCCCTGAGGCAGACACACGTTCACGAAACCTTCTGCTACATTTATTTGCTGAAATAAAAATGGCCAACTGGCGTGACTCACCCCGATGATGTTAATGGTCTGGATGGAAACGTCTCCGGCGACCTGGATGGCCCGGATCTGCTCCACAGGGAGCCGGTGAGGGAACAGGAAGAAGTCCTTCCCGTCGACTTTAGTCTGGAGCAGAAAGAAGAACATGATCAATCAATCAATCAATCAATCAATCAATCAATGAGAATAGTAATAAATCCATTCTCTGTCACTTTAAATCCAAATTAGCCACTCCTGGTCATGCCTTCAAATTCAACGTTCACACACGAACGGGAAAATGGCAGCAAACGGATGTGACATCATACAATCGTGCATCTCTGAAAAGCAGAAGTTGAGCCTCCAGCACAACAAACAAGAATGCATCTGGTGGATAAGGCGGTAAAACCAGCTAACTAAACATGCTAGAGGTTAGCTTGGGTTGCTAGGTGATGGGCGGAACTCTGCTGGGGTTGCTAGGTAACGGGCTGAGTCAGAGGTTTTTGAAACGACTCAATTTCCAAACAAAAAAAACATTCCTGCCAAAAACTGATGAGGTGGTTTGTTTTCCAAGGTGTTTTTAGAACCGGTGGAGAAACAGATGGGAGTATAAAAAGTATAAAATGTGAATTTTGATTCATTGGTTCCCTTTAAAACCACACGCTTGTCGTTCACCTGGAATCCCTCGGAGGTGATCATGATGACCAACTCGAAGGACTCGCCCTTGGAGAAAGGCATCCTGCGGATCTTCTCCTCCGACATCCAGGATCCGTCTTTACGGCTGTTGAAAACCACCTTGTCCCAGCCGTCGAACCGAGGGTTGAAGTGCAGGGCGACGTCACTGGAGTCCGACTCTCCGCACAGAAGGTTGATCCGAAACCTGGCAGAGACAGAACCGGGTCAACAGCAGCAGCTTCCCTCCAACTTGTTCTCACTTTGCAACTGCAGGCGGCTGCAGGATTTATTGGAGCTGCGTCAGCGACGTGCCGAGTGTTCGTGTTCAGACGGCCAAACAAAGGGAGAACATTCCTGCCAAAAAACTCAGGAATTTTGAGATTCATCTCAGACTTTTTCTAAAAAAAAGTTAAAAAAAAGAGAAAACTTCTGAGTTCCAAAACTGACAAAAAAAATTGACATTTTCAAGAATATTTTTGTAATTACTCCCCAAAACATTTTTTCTGGCAAATGTTTCATATTTTTTCAAACTCTGAATTTTCTGAGTTTGTTTCTACAAAATCCTATTAATCTAAAAAATTTTGTTTATTTATTTTAACTTCAACAAATTTCAGATTTTTTAAGCTCAGCAATTTCAAAAGTTTATCTTGAAAATCTCAGATTAATTTCAAAATGTCTGGGCTTTTCTAGAAATCTTCAAATATTTATTTAAAACTTTTGGATATTTTTGTCATCAGAAAATTTTCACGTTTTTTTTTTTTCTAGAAAATTTCTGAGATTAATAGAAAAGTTCTTTGTGGAAATTTGCTGCTTTTATTTTCTTTCTACACCACCATAAATACTTGCCACACTTAATACTTTCTATAAAAAGAACCGTGAAAACTTTTACAGGCTGAAATCGTTCCCGAAGCCTAACCCTAACCTTACCCTAACCCTATCCTAACCCTAACCCTTAACTGCAGAATGTAAACAGGTGGATCCGGAAACAGAAGATGTTGTGAAATAGATAAACATTTTTCTCTGTGTGTTTCAGCCGATTACAGCCTTTAAATACGACTCTATTTTTAAAAATGAAGACAAAAGCCGAGCGGTGGGTTAAAGAAACAGACTCCACCCACAGAGGGCGATAGAGGTCACACCAGAGTTTCTCTGGAGCTAATTAAAATGATTTAATGGATAGAAAAGCTTCAGATTCAAATGTTTTAGAAACTCGCCTGGTGATGTTTTCAGGAACCGATCCCTGGATGTAGATGGACACTCCGACCCGAATGCCGCCATAAATGGGGCCGAGGTACGGAATGCACTGCAAAATAATTCAGATTTAATTAGAATAATTAGCAACTTTCAGAGCTGGGAGGTGATCATTGAAGACAAATAAAAAAAAAGTGTTGAATGCAACTTCTGAGGTTAAAAAAGTGAAAAGCAATTTGAGAGTGTTAAAGTTTTACCATCCAACTAACTTTCACAATTTCTCAAAGTGGAACAGTACCTTTAAAAACGAAAACAAGTTTGAATTTACTGTGGAATTTTTTTAAAGTAATTTACTAAAATCCTTAACTAAAGATTCAATAAAGTCAAATGAAAGGAAAATGATTAAAATGTTTTTCAAAAAGCCGTAAAGATAATTAAACTATCACCTTTGCTAAGAAGAATGGTAAAAAAAAATGGTCACAAAAACTATTTAAAGTTCAACTTGCTAGGAGACGTTTAATATTAACGGATCCATTTTATTTGTAAAATTAAAAACACAAGAAAAAAGTCGAAATTATACAACTTTATTCTCGTAAATGTATTTTAACATATTTGTTTTTTTCCTTTCTTTAGTAATTAAGTTACTTCTTCTGCCTCAGATTTAATTGTTAAATTAATCTGGAACTTTGAAAAGTTAAATAAAAAGTAAAAGCCGTTTTTTTTGACCGTTTTCGTCCGTTCCCATCGGTCCAGTCAAAGTCCGGCAGCAGATACTCACAGGGTTGTAGACGGGCTGGTAGCCTGGAGGAGCGACGAAAGTCATGATGATGAACAGACAGCAGGAAAATCTGAGCTTCACTTTATATGAGCGACGAAGGAGGGAAGAGAAACGCAGACAAACAAACTGCTGTTGACTTTAGCTGGAAAAAGTTAATAAAACATGAAGGGTGTGTTTTTACCATCCAGTTCACCTTTCAACATCTCAAACCAAAACTCTAATATTTATTGCACCTACATTCAAAACGAAGTTTCTGTAATCTAATCTCTTTTCTCCTCTGATGTTACATTTATTAAAAGTGATTCTGAGTATTTTCAGGAAACAGAAACTCTACTAATTCGCTTCTCCAGCTCTGGTAACTGCAGGTATTTTCCTTCTTTTGTGCTGCATTGAGGTGGGAGGTTAATCCGATAAACGCCTGTAAACTCAGCGCGAAGGTATGTGTACAAATGTTTCAGGGAACAAAAGCGGCAAGTTAATAAAAAATCTGCATCTTTTTTCTCCAAAAAATCCTTCATATTTCCTAAAGATAAAAGTCCAGTCAAAACTCAGGAGGTTTAAAATATTCAAAACTGAAATTCTCATTATCTAATGATTTTGTTCAGTATCACTCTTAAAAGCATCACAGAACTGCTGGAGATTAGATTACAGGGCTGGCTGAATTCAAAGGCACACCACACTTTTCAGATTTAAAAAAGACATGAAAAAATGTAGAAACATGTCGTATTAGACATGTCTTCCCCCTCAACCTGTTGGTTGATGACATGAAATCCAGAGCTAGCTAAAAACAGGCTGAGCTAACCCTAGCGCGCTAATTATTGTGCTAGAGGTACATGCTACAGCACAGCTTTTAGGGCAAGCTAACGTTAAATTCAATTCAAATTATATCTGCCTTTACAGGCACCGATTTAATTTTGATATAGTTTATACATTTTATAAATCCTTCAGATGTTGTATTTATGTCTTGCTCTCTACTGTCTGTTGTATTTTGTTTGTGTTTTTAATAAATAAAAACTTAACAGTTGATAACCAAAACGTCAACGAAGACTTTAATCAACTGAAAGTCTCAAATAGACTGGAAAAATTAATTTAGGGGAAGCTAAACAATTTCAGGCTAGCAGAAGCACTAAATAAGAATTAGCTCCTCTATTAGCATATTAGCATTACTCTCCCTATCACTAGTTACTTCAAGACATTTAGATATGGGGGAAGCTAAGTGTGCTAACAAAAGTGCTAAATGAAAAATTAGCCCCACTTAGTGTCTCCATCAATTGTTACCTCGTTATCTCGTAGCTAATTGTGCTAACTTTTTCAAAGTTAGTGAAAAAAGTTTGCTCTTCTACCAGCATGTTAGCAGATTAGCACAAAATGCTCAAATAAATGACCAGACGCTCCAGTTGTCCTTAAAATAATTTGTTTATTCCATATTGAAACGCAGAGTTTAGTCAGAGACTCCCGGTCAAGTGGAAAGTTGTGACCTCCGTTCATCTTCCAACCATCGGACCGACCGAAACGCTCCGTCTCCAACCGGTCATTTGTACGACATGGAGAATTTGTGAATGTGTCAGAAATCAATGCGTCACACACACAACTTTGACTGAGACAAATTATCCAAATGCTGAATTTCTAAAAATATCTATGGTAAAAAGCTAACGAGCCGAAACAAAAGCAAACATTCTCCAAACCGGAGGCCATTTTCATTATAAGACTAAATCTCTTCACCATCTTCAGTTTGAGACACATTCATGTCTGAAAACTAAATTATTTCCATACATCAGAGCCTTAAAGAAAAATAAATAGAAGAATCCATGGTGTATGTAAAATATGTCTTTTCATCAAGTTCTTATTAGATACATTCAACACTTATTTCAGTGGACCAACGTTGTGCAGAAAGTCTCTCTAAATGGCTTAGTCTGCGTAAAACAGAATAAATTACCTCGGCGTTCCCCTCGGATGTGTGTTCGTCTCACTATCGGTTATGGCAGAGAGACGGGAGTCCACATTGTAAGACTGCAGAGTGTCTAAACAGATCATTATTCCAAAAATCGGGTTTTTGTCAAGTCGGTCCGAGTTCAAGCAGTTCATAATTGCTTGTGAGAATCTTTCGTTTCGAGACGGCGAAACTCAAATAGACGTAAAATCGGTCACTTCGTCTCCAGTCATTTTCCTGTGATAACGAGAAACAAAATAATGATCGACTGGGTCAGAATTGACATGCAAAATGCCCAAACAGGAAGGGAAACCAGCAGGTTGATTCTGATCTGTGAATAACGTGTTTTTCTGGGTTTGTGACAATTTTTCAGATTGCTGAAGCCACACTGAGGTTCGGCTGCATTAAAACGTAATGATTAGAACAGAACTGACAGACAGTGGTGGGCAGCGCTAACCGAAATGTTAGCAGCACTAACCCTAAAGCACTAATCACAAACATTAGCTCCACTAACTGTAAAGAATAACATATTTAACAGAAAGTAATTATGAAGCGCTAACTTAAATTTAAATTATATCTGCGTTGAATTTAATTTTGACCCTATATAATCTGCAGTCTCACAAAGCTCTGAGACGTATTTACTTTTAATTTTGTTCCTGTATAATTTCTGTTTTGACAGTTGACAACCAAAAACTTTGACATAGTTGTCAAACGTTATTCAGCTGATAGCTTACAAAAACAGTAAAAATAAATTAGCACATAAGAATTTACCTGAAAAGCATTTAGGGGAAGCTAAGCATGTTTTAAGCTTTCAAAGTTAGCTAATCGCTAAGCTAAAAATTAGCTCCACTATTAGCATATCTGAATTTACTTGAATAAATAAATGTAGGGAAAGCTAATTGTGCTAAGATAGTCAGAAATATAAATTTAGGGGAAGCTAAGTGTGCTAAGTGTTTTCAAAGAAAACAATCACTAAACAAAAAATTAGCTAAGCTATTAGCACATTAGAATTTACCCAGAAAAATTAATTTAGGTGAAGCTAAATGTGCCAGAGGTTTTCAAAGTTAGCAAAAGTAGCAAACAAAAAATTAGCTCTGCCATTAGCATGTTAGCAGAAGTGTGCCCACCACTGCTAGCAACTCGACAAAATACACAAAAGCAGCCAGAAACACGGACTTCTCATGCTAACAAATACTCTGAGACACATAAATGACAACGACCCAAAAGGCTCACAGGGTTTGATTTTCCTTAAAAATGACCAAAAACCCTAAATCTTCCGGCACATGATCAGAACTGAAGACGCCATTTTAGGTCAGGTTTTAAACCTCGTTACGAAAACAAGAGAAGAAGAACTCCAGTCGTCTCGAGTCGTGAGTTTGTGACCGTTTCAGATTTTTCCATGAGACCTGATGGAAAAGGTTGAACCTCAAAGAGAAGCTACAGAGACTGACGGCTAAAGCAGTGACGTCGCTATAGGCACTGGAACGTTTACAGCACTAGCGGCTACGTTAGCCGCCACGCCGTCAGTCCATATACAAGGCAGTCTATGTTTAATTTAGACAGGAAAGGCCATGTGATCACAGCAGGAGCTTCGTTTCGCCTCCCGGGTCGTTTTCTCCAACCTGCTGCTGAAAAGTGCGGTTGAAAGGTGTGCATAGCTTCAAACAGACGAGAAAGAAATGCAAGACAAATGACAAAACTAAGACACGGATGTTCCAGCTCTGAACTTCAGGACGTTTCGTCCCGTTTCCTGTCGGGAAGCGGCGCGGTTTATCCCAGCTGGTCCTCGTACTGCTTCCTGAAGCAGTCTCCAGCGGGGAAGAAGTCCCAGCATCGCTCCTGGTACATTTTCCACACATACGACTCCTGGGAAAAAATTATTAAAATTAAACAGAATAATAAAATAATAAGTAACGATGATAACAAAGGGAAATGACTGACCTGTCCTGTGTGTTCTGTTTCATCTTTGTTGATGAGATACATCAAGAAGAACCTGAACAAAGGAAAACATCCACTCTTCAATGCAAAATCACAAAATCTGATTTTTTTTCAATTATAACATGAAAAACAAATTATAATCTACCAATGGAACTAGGATTTATTGACTTAAAATAATTTACACAAACCCTGGGAAACTTGCTAAGCCTGGCGGTCGGGGCAGTCATTCATCCAGCGGCAGCCATGTTTTTGAGTTATAAAATGTTTAAAGTTGACAGGAAATTTTAAAATATCACTTGATCATTATGTGTAGCTGAAAGATTAATATCTGAAAACCAACTATAAAGTCTTAAAAAATGCAAACATTTAAAAAAAACTTACATAAATAAGCAGTGGTTAGCCTGGCGGGGACACAAGTAAAGCCTGGAGGCCCGCCAGGCTTATAATACACTGAAGAAAACCCCAATGTTGTTTTAAGTTAGTTTAGTCTTATTTAAAGTGTAAAAACACGTCTCCACTACAAACTAGACCAATATTTTGAACCCACAGACATTTTGCATGTAGATTTTGTTCCCAGAAACTGAAAAATCTTCCTATAAAATGTTTGATTCTGAGATTTTAGCTTCTCTTTGGAACTTCAAATCACTTTGGTACACTGCAAAAACAGAAACTGTTCCCAAGTATTTTTGGTCCAGTTTCTAGTGCAAATTTTGAAATAACACAGAAATAACTAAGAAGTCTCTTTTGAGCAAATTATAGGATCTTGTTTTCAGTCAATAATTCTGGAACATTCGTTATTTTTTAACCACTTTGTTACTGGTTTAACTGGCCACCAGTAACATTGGATTATTTTTTAAGTGTAATAATCTTATGTGCTAATTTATTTGCTAAAACAAGCTCCTGTATCTTGCTGAATACTTGGTAGGATTGAGTGTTTCTGCAGGGATTCCTCCTCTCAGAATGACCAGATTAAACTCAGATTAGCTCACATGTAGTTGGCCAGGTTGTGCTCCTCCAAGGTGTGAGTCTCAAAGCCGTGCGGCGTCGTGTCAAAGTAGTCGCTTCCTATCCCACAGATGAAGCATTTGGTCTGAACGGGAAACAGGAAGTTCAGAGAAACAGGAAGTTCAGAGAAACAGGAAGTTCAGACGAAAGGGCCTGAAGGCGGCAGAGACAGGTCAAAGGTCAAAGGTCAGGGCTCACCTCCATGTCCTCCC